AAGTTATGATAATATTTAAATAAAATCGCAAGTTTTAATTGGAGAATTGAAAGTGTGCATACATATTTTTAATAAACATCCAATTAAAACAAAATTAACCGTCAATTTTTTTTTATTTTGCTCTTAAAATTTTAGTTATGACCTAATTAACAAGAATATAAAAAAAAATTAGGTTTCACAGAAAGTCCAAAAATCACCTCTCAGAACAGCACCGTGTAAAACTTAATTTAGAACAATATACGGTTTTGCCACTCTACAGAGTGTCTTAAACTTATGGTAAAAAACATATTTTTGTTTAAACCTGTATATTATAATTGTTCGTCTATTTTTTATTAATTTTTTAAAATATGAGCGATTGTCCATTAATTTACCTACAATCTACATTCGTTTAATTCCGACATCAAATAAAAAAGTTATTTGCGATTGAAATTCATCGAAAATTTGTGTGGATCGATTATTTTGCCTGTGAGTGTAGTTATAAATTGCTAAAAATTCCAACCTAAAATTCACAATAAGGGGATACGTTCAATTTTGTGAAATCACCTGACCGTCGATCTCATGAGCGTCGTATAGGTTATTAAATTTGAAATGCGATGGTCATGTTAAACGTGCAACGCTTTATTTTATGAAGAAAAAAATTGTTTTAAATGAATTTGTTCCATACTTTTGGCTGTCACTGTATAATTTTTATTCAAATGTATATTTCCAGGCTTTCGGTTTTGATTCGTTTTTTTTTCAATTTTTTCAAGTGTAAAAACCATATACCTATAACTCCTATACGGGTAATCGACAATTCATTCGTAAAAGAAAGATGCCCTTATTTCAAATGTTAAATGGGAACTTTTGCGCATGTGCCTTACAATATACCACGCCCGGTTTTAAATTCGCCAAATTTAAAAATTCTTTTCCTTGTCATTTTCTTATAACCTCTTTGTTCGAAAACATTGTTTTTGTTTGAAAAAGTGTTTTTATTAATTTAATTTAATGCAGCTAGTGTTTTAAAATAAATAAGCAAAATCATATTTGCAATTCTCTTTTATTTAATCAAAAAAACTGAATTAAAAACCAGATTGTTGACGGCTGGCCAAAAACAAATGACCGATTTAGAAAAATAATGAAATATTAAAGGTTACTAACATTCCCAATCTCTTGGCAATCTAATAAAAAAATAGGTTCATAGTAGTTATTTGGTAAAAAGTTAATTGTTTTACCATAATACCTACCAAAATTTTGATTAAAGTGTAATTTTGTAATAAACCAGAATCACAGGCGTAAACACAAAATAATAAACAATTGTTTATTATTTTGTGTTTATGCCTGGTTAACCAAGATGGCAGTGCATTGTTGCCAAATTGACCAAGACAGATTATATACTTTTTTGTAAATAATAATTTTGTAGATTTAAATAACTACACAGAGAAAAAAGATTATTTGAATTAAATAAATTTTATTTATATCAAATAAATTATTTATTTCGATATACCCAAATAAATGTTCTTTTGAATGTAAAAAAATATTTATTTGTTTTAATTTATTTAATTTAAAATTAATTTATTCAACGCAAACAAATATTATTAGTTTGTATGAAATAAAACCAAGTAAAAAACATTTTTTTAAATTAAAGAAATGTTTTTATTTACGTTAAACAGATAATTTATTTCATTTAAAATTAATTTATTTAACTTAAATACCTATAATATTTGTGTTAAAAACAATTTATTTGGATTAAGAGATATTTTTTTTTAAATTAAATAATTATTATATTTGAATTAATAAAAATTATTTATTCAGATTAAAAGATATATTTTTTAATTAATAATGTTTTTTTCATCTAATCTAGTAATTAATATATATTGGTATATTGGGGAGTAAAAATAAATTAATTTTTTTATGAATAAACACTAATCTTTATTGCATAAAAGTCTTATAAATACATATAGGAATCCCTAAAATATACAAATACTTCACTAACTTAAAAAATACTTATGTTAATTTTAACTTAATGTTAATGTGTGCTGCATAAATCCACCAGGGTCTGCAAATAATAATGATAAGTAATTATTTAAATTACTTACCTTTAAAAACAGGAATAAATTTCTCAAGACCCCATTCCTTTAAAAGGTCCTCCATAGTATAAAATAATATAAAATTATTTATTATTTTATTATAATGCCACACAACACTTCTCATCAACACCCTGCTCTAAATTGGAGTCTCTAAAATCACGTACATACAAAATGGAAAGCCCATTGGGTGCCTGCAGTCGCCTGATTTACAGCAACCAATAGGATGCAAGTCATGCTACTTCGACGTGAGCAAAAAAGTTTAAATAAACCACTGCTTTAAATCAAATTACAATTTTTTTGTATTTAAATAATAATTTGTTTAAATTAAATAATAATTTGTTTATTTTAAATAATTAATTTTTTTGAATTAAATCAAAATTATATTTTAAAATTAAACCATGTTTTTAAAAAAATATTATTTGTTGTTTAATTTAAACTTTTTAATTTTTTAAAACAAGTAAATTGTTTTTATAATTTAAGAAAGTCAACTTTTATTTAAACAGAATAAGTGCAATTTTAAAATAAAAGTCAGGTACTTTGTTTTAAATATATATTTTAATAAATTTGCTTTTTCCTTTTAAATAAAGACAATTATTCTTTTTAAAGAAATGTTTTTGAATTAAATTTATATTTTTTTAAATGTAATAAATAAAATTAAACAAACATTCTTGTTTGAATTAAAACATCTTTTTTCTCTGTATACAATTAGGCTAAAATTATTCAGACATTAAAACAATAACGTTTAAAAAAGATATTTTATAAATTTTTACCATATTTACCAGTAAAATTTGAATAAAGAAATCCTCTAAAAGACAATATAAAAGAAACAAGGCAAGCTGTAGTATTTTAATAGTGTAGCATGCGCATTGGAAACATTTTATCATTTGAGATAGATACATATACCTGTCTCTTAATAATTGCAAGGGGCGTGGGAAGTCGTTTACCCGTATAGGAGTTATAGGTATATGGTAAAACCCGGTTTTTTTTCAATTTTTTAAGTTTTCTTCTACATTCTAAAACCTCTATAGGTACAGTACGCGTCGCCAAGGTCGATTGCGAGCACGAGCGCCACTTTTGCGCCAGTTTGTATGTCAATGGGTACCCCACGGTGTACCTGTATTTTTCCCCCGCCGAAAGACGGGCAGTTGAAAGCCGCGATGCCAAATCGCTCATCGCAGAAGTCAAGCAACTGATTAAGGAGCACGAGTTAAAGAAAAATCACGATGAGCTCTAAAAATGTTTTCATTTCAATTTTAAAACGAATAATATTTATTAAAAAATTTAGGCAATTTAAATCAATTAATAGTGTTTACTTTTATATTCTCTTTTGTATCTATTTTATTATATAACTTTTTGTACACTTTTATTAATGTATTTTAAACGGTTTACTCCAATAATAAATTAATGTCTTCCATAATAACGTTCTAAAATTAAATTTGACGTTACAAAACTTCTTTTTTTTGGACCATGGAGCCTACACAAGGAGTCCCATCCCCTTGTGGAAATTTTATTAAGTCGGAAAAAGTCAGACTAATAGCAAGATTTGGGAGTCTTCTGGAAGACTTAATAAGACTTTTAGCAGAGAAATGGTAGGTACCTATAGCGATTAAAAATATCCCGAATTATTCAGAGATGTTGTATTTGGTTATTGCAAAAGAAATCACAATGAAAAGTATTTATAAACACTGTTTTTGTGCTGTTATAAGGCTTATAAAAACACGGAAGCAATGTTTACAATATAGATAAACAAACTTTATTTTAATTGAACAGAATAAAACAGTTGGGAGATACGTTTGGTTTGTGTACATACAGATCTTTTGTTGATTAAGTACATAGGTAATAACTATAACAATTCTTCGCAACGCATAGGCATGGTATGAAACAAATATGCCGGATGAATGTCATAAAAGTTCCCGACCAAAAATAACAAAATACTAAAAAAAGTACTTCATTTTAAATTTACTACAACATTCGCCTTGTGTTAAAAAAAAATTAATTTAAAACTTTTATATTAGTAAATAAAAATGTAACAGGATATCCTATATAGAATAAAATAATTATGCATTTTTAGTAAACATACAATATTATTTACTGAAAATTTCTTCAGGTAGTATTTTGATTGAAATTTGCAAAATATCCTATTTTGTTTACCCGCTTCAAAATTCTACCCGCAAACATGACGAAAATACCCGATTAGTAAGATATCCGCAAACGGGCAACACTTCAGGTAAGTAGTGACAGGAGAACTATCTTGAGAAAATCGATATTGTGTCTAAAAGTTGTTTGGAACAATGGTTAGATGAATTTGCGTATATAAAAATAAACTATTAAAATAAAACGTACAGTGGCAACAATAAAAGCAAGTCAAGCGCATCGTATGTATAATTGTTATAATTATTACACCTCACATATGTTACTATATAGGTAATTATGCATTAAACTTGGCTTATTACCACCCCGGCAAAATGTTAATAAATACTTTTCTTTGTGTTTTATTTTATAATAATCAAATAAAACCTCTCTGAATAATTCCGGATATTTATTTTAATCGCTATAGTTCGGTCCCACCCATTTCTCTCCTAAAAGTCTTATAAAGTCTTATTAACTCTTCAAACTAAAAGGGCGCTGGAGTTTGGTTTGTACCAAAACAGTACCGAAACAGCAGACATCAGAGCCGATAGTTTTTAAAAAACAAAACGTAATTATTTAGTAGACAGGTTCTGTCAAGCCACACTATGTGTAGGCTCCATGATTTGGACATATTTGATTATGTTGGTATTAAACAATAATCTAATTAGAACTTAATAGTTACCACTGCCATTTAAAGCTAGTAATGTTATCTAATAATATGATGACAGTAATATATTTTAAATATATTTATTAACTATACAAATATTGTTTTATTAGTACAATACTCCTCCAAACATCCATATCCTATTTTGGAACCATTGTTGTTTCGTTGTGGCAATTATAATTAAAACGACAATTAAAATACTAAAAAATCATGCAAATTAAACGTTTTAATGATTCATCAAAATAATTACCTCTTGTATTTCATCATCGAACGCGTTTTTAAATTCCAAAACGAACTCTTCCACCATCAATGGTGCCAGATTTATTATTGCCTTGTTCATAAGGTCCTCAAATTCCGTGTCGTTTTTGTAGGGGTTCATAAAATTATCCAAATGACCCTAAAAGTAAATTTGACCCATGATCATGGGTCATGCATTTGTGTATGGGTACTTACATCAACGACTGGTAGCTCAATAGAAATGTCAAGGGGCACACAAATACTACTTTCATCTCCAATAGCGTTGAATATAGCGATTATGGTGATTTGGAGGTTCAACCTAAAGTTATATATGTATAAGTATCATGACTCTTTTATTAGTCTTAAAGCTGCTCTACCCAAGTAACATATTAGGTTTTATTATTGCTGTACCAGAACCGATATGGCCTCGTTTAAAATTACACCTTAATACTATTTGTACTTCAATGCGCTGTTACAGCAACAGACGTTCCAGCACTTGACAAGGCAAAACGCATTGTAGCAGCGAGACCTCTTAAAACGTAAAAGTCAAAACCAACATAATTTCTCAAAAGTGCAAACAAATTATAGTGAAACAACTACAGTGAGTATAGGCTACCCTACGGTCAAGAATGAGTTAAGAGTTAAGTGACAAGTGAGCTCTGGGCGGTCATACCACCAAACAATTTTCATAAAGTGCAAACTAATATAGTGTCAATAAAGAGTAAAGTGATAAGAAATAGTTAAGTGACAAGTTTCAGCTTCTGGGTGGTCCTACCACCTGTCATTGGACGCTTTTCACTAGACAAACAAAAGAGGTCAAACAAGAGGGGAAGAGGCCATCCGCAAAAATTGATAAGTATCTTCAAGCATACGCATGACCTAACACTTAATTTGCAAAATTAATCACGACAGATACCTTTAAAAACCTAAGAAAGGCACACTGCTTAAACTCTAGAAAAAAAACAATAAACATCAGTAACAATAGATACATTAGAAAGACAATACTAACCAAACACCATAAAATGATGAAGAAAAAGGACAAACAACAAAAAAAACAAAAGTTCCCATTCGAACCTAAGCTGAGTAGGACAATAAATCTGTCAACAACAAATGCGTAAGGCATGAAACCCAGTAACTTAAAGAACGGCCCCAAACAAAAAAACGTTAATTTTAACCCAAACGAGACCAATAATAAACATTTGACACATGTTTTGAGTAATACTAACTGCCTGGTCTAGGGGGGTACCGCGCCGTACTTAGATTTGAGTCGGCGTAATTGTCCCCCAAACACTAAAATATCTATCCCTCCCGTCCTACCTCCTTCATGACCCTACTGGGCGTATAGCATCGGCTCGGCGAACCCGGGAATGGAATATGAAAACAACTATGTTTTGAAAGTTTCACGTAATTTATTTGAATGTTGACAATTGTTTCGCTACACAGTAGCTTCATCTGAAGAAACATAGTTGTTTTTATATTTACATAGTGTAATAGGCGTTATGGTTTTAAAAGTATACTTTTTAAAACAACAAAACCTATAGGTATTGTTGTTTTAAATTGTTTGTGATAGCTTTGATATAGGGGAAGGTGGGGGAATTTGCGCGGTGGGTAATTTTACGCTTAAACAATTCTTCCAGATATGAAGTAAATAATACATTTTTTGAATGTTGCAAACTTGGAAACGTTGCTTTTGGTATACGGGGACTAAAGTGTACCGCAATTAAGCTTGTAGCTTTTAGCTAGTGACCATGGTCACTAGCTAACTGTGATACATGTACGTTGATCTAAGAAATCCATGTCGTTTCCGCTACGAGTTAAGTTTAAATTTCTGTCCAATCGCTTAAATGTTTATAACACAACTTTATATGATCTTTCCTCGTAATCTGGTGTATGTTTAAATTGTTCAGGTTAACTTTTGGAATGTTTTTTAGTTTCACAATATTTTTCTTGCAATGGGGGTAATTTTACGCTGAAAAATTGGGGTAATTTTTGTTGATTGTTCCTCATAAACAGTTCCATTTGGGCACACGCGGAGTGTAGCGTACAAAACAACCCCTAAAACTACATATGTGACAACTGCTGCATGTAGACCCTCTTATTTCTAAGAACAAAAATTTTATTTTTTGTTATTTATTTTTGATCTTGTTTGTTTTGTTTGTTTCATTTTTTTTTTAAATTGCGCATTATATACACATAGTAAACATAGTAGACTATCGCTGGTATTAATTGCAAAATTTCACATTTAAACTTAACAAAGATACTAGAGATTTTGCTTAGATGCGCAGAATTCCCCCACCTTCCCCTAGAACAAGTAAAATATTTACCAAAACGAACCAGCGCCGAATATGTCGAACAAATCCCCGATATCGCCAGTTAAATTGTATTCACCAACAATTGATACATTGGTTAGAGAAAACGTAAAGTTGGCACCCTCATTATCCTCCTCCGCATAGTCGTAATCCAAACTCGTGGTTGTGTTTAATATATTTGATATATTTAAATTGTCCAATGTGCCTTTAGCTCTATAATAGATTATTTTATTAGGAGTAAGATTTAAAAAAAATCGTACAGAAACTACTTAGTCTTTTCTACTTACGAAATAGCTGGATGAGTAAAGTTAAAATCTGCATGTTCTACGAATATCCAGTTATTCATTTCATCGGTAAATTTATTCAAAATATCAGTCCTGGTTAATGATTGTGCTAAATAAAACATTTAATAAAAAAATAAGTGCACTTTAAGACCTCCCCAAGCAACAATTTAAGTATTTGTTACGTATATGGGACTATTGAAGTAACTTAAAAGTGTGTTGCGACAGTCGCCGGTCTCTTTATATTACAATTATTGAGTTCGAAAAAGGTAACAAATATATCACTAGCTATAAACCCTGCTACTATTCGGAACGTAGCTGCTACGTTACTAGAACGTTTCAATATCGTTGCTAGAGCGTTATAATTACTTTTATTTATTTGTTTTTACGTCTATATTAACTTTTTTTGTCAAACTTATTTTAGATTAAACTATTCCTCCTTTTTTAAATGAAACCACTACGGACTTGGCTTTTCAATGTCGTCGTTTATTAAATATGTACTGGTAGTTTATAACTTCCAGAATAACAATATAATGTTTGATTAGGCAGGTAAATTTATTAACCCTTTAAATTTTAATGTTAAACTTATGAATTTAGTTTTTGTAAAATAAATGCGCTTCATCAATATTTAAGTTTAAACAAATTATTTATTTAATAATGTTTATAAATAAAAAAATCTTAATATTTATTATTAATTTTTTATTTAAAGTAAACAACCATTTACAAACAATTAAAATAATTTATTATTTACATTACCACGTGGTACTGTACAGTAAAAAATGGCCGATAAGAAGCATTTTCCTTTGAAGTAGTTTTCGATACTTTAAAGTTTTTTTCCACCTTAATTTACTTTACGGTAGTTTTGGTTAGTACCATAAACTTTCCAAATACTAAATTAATAACTTTTAAGTTATTAACTTTGTAGTTTTTAACTCATGTCCCAGTTTCGAGATTTTAACTTGCAAAGGGACTACAAAGTAAAAATAATTATAATGTAATCTTTAGGTAGCAACCGAAAGTAACTGCTACAAATTTACTTGAACGTTCTTTTACTTATAACACCTTTTTTAAAGTTGCAAAGTCTTTTTGGAGGCAAACAAGTTTTACTTAAATGTTTATTACTTTATAGTAACCATTTAAGGAAATAATGAAGTTTCTGTTACAAAATATTGCTATTTAAAAGTTAGATTTACTTTTAAGTAAAAATTAAAGTAGTTGTTTAGTATACTTAACTAATTTAAAGTTATCACCACTTTGGTAATGGTTTTTGGAACAAAAAATGTTGCTTGGGTCATTTGAGGCTTACAAGTGCCTCTGTAAGAAACACAACGTTTAAAAAGATTCTTAATCTGTATAAACAGCACAAGTCAAAGTACAAGAATTGTAAACCCTAAAATTGACCTTTTACAGTTTATTTTGTTTTACAAAATTGGGCTAAAATGGTGCCCTTAGCACTGACAGAAACTCTACTGAAAATGGCAACTAAGGTTACAAAAAATTTGAAATAGGTAATGGGTGATTCTACAAAACTTGGACAACTTAATGTCATTCAGTGGCGGATTGGGGATTTTGGGTATACCAATATCTCAGTTATTAGACATGGGACCCACACCAAATTTATAATAGTTTATTATGACATTAAATAGACAAGTTCGGCGCAAACAGAATTTAAATTGAAGTTTGCGAAAAAAAGTTAGTTTTTTGTGTCGCCTCACCTGGCTTCTGGCCCCCCCATTTGAGATAATTCAAATTAAAGTTGTGCAATTTATACTTCACTATAATTTATCGGTAAATTTAAAATTTTATTTGAAAAATCCAAATATTACAGATTTTATACCATATTAAATATTTTTTTATTATAATAAAATAAATAATAAAAATTTAAAATCGTATAAAATCTGTAATATTTATATTTTTTAAATAAAATTTTAAATTTGTCGATAAATTATAGTGGAGTATAAATTGCACAACTTTAATTTGAATTATCTCAAATGGGGGGGCCAGAAGCCAGGTGAGGCGACACAAAAAACTAACTTTTTTTCGCAAACTTCAATTTAAATTCTGTTTGCGCCGAACTTGTCTATTTAATGTCATAATAAACTATTATAAATTTGGTGTGGGTCCCATGTCTAATAACTGAGATATTGGTATACCCAAAATCCCCAATCCGCCACTGATGTCATTAGTCAATAGAGTAGGTATATTAATATTTTTTGTAAATATTTTGGTATATTAAAAAAGATCTAGTTTTTTTAACTTTTACACCCAATTTTAATGCATTTTTTTAAAAGCACGTTTGTAGAAAAACATAATAAATATTCAAAACATCAGTACCTTGTCGTGTCACAACTCCTGAATCAAATATTTGAGTGATTTTATTTTAAAATATATTTAATTTATCTTAAATTTTTCAATTTCACTGCAAACTATAAAACATTAAATAATGTATTTTTTATATTTTATCATAGATTCGAATAATAGCAATTTAAAAAAAATATGATAATCTTTGTACTCACTTTTACCCGTCAGTTCTATGTCCAATGTTAAAATTCAAAATTACCTACAGACCCGCCCTTTGCACGACAGTCATCTTGAAAACAATGCAAGCGGCGAAGTTGTGGTGAATGCACGTATAGTTCCAGTCAAAATTTCAGTACTGTGGTGAGTAGTTATTTTCTTACGTATATATATTTCATTGTAATTAATTACATAAATAATAATAAATTTATATAAGGCTATATGTGATTTTTTGTGATTTTTTGAAAAGTAGCATCCACTAATAAAAAATATCAGTAAAATACTTAATTCCGAATTATAATCTCAAATTTGTATCCCATTCATCAGTACTGTGTAGTCAGTTCCATGTTCGATTTTTCGGTTATCGCAAACTTTAATTTAAATTCTGCTTGTGCAGAACTTCTTTATTTAATGTCATTATAAACTCATATAAATTTGGTGTGGGTCCCATATCTAATACCTAATTGATATATCGGTATACCCAAAATCCACCAGCCGCCACTGATGTGTGGTAGGTATTATTTGATTTTAAGATATTTAATGTATAATATGCTCAAATTATTATTATTATTTAATTAGTACCCTGGTATACTCGTCACTTCCCTTGAATTCAAATTTAGAAAAAACAGATATTTCGGAAACTGTTTGAAAAAGTGACTGGCCCGGTCTGGAATAGTATATTATTATATTAGGTATCTATGCATGTTCTCATAACAAAATACTGTTTAATTTTCTCCGAAAACTATATAAACAAAATGAGGTCAAAAGTTAACCAACTTTTGTAGAATCACTCTAATACAGAATAACATTATGGACCACCCGAAGTTTTTTTTTAAATATTAGTTACTTACTTTGTTCTTGCGTGAGGTTAAGGCATATTGTTACTTTACTTTCTACCCCATTGAAAAGTAAAATTAGGAAAAATCCCCAACATATCAACCTACAAAATATTTGTAATAATTTTTTTTTAGATATTTTTAAATATAAAAATACCAACATTTTTTTGCTGTTTTACACAAAAATTTACACGAGTTTTGATTTGATAATAATAAAATTCTATTGAAGTGTTAAATTAATTAAACGATAAAATTGTTATTATCTTAATTGTATTTAAAAATATCAAGATAGCAAAAAATTGGCGAGATGATTTTATATTTATTTTATCATTTATAATTTTTAAGCTTTAATTAGTTTAAAAATTGTTTTTTGGGACACTCTGTAGGTATGAATTATAAATAAAAGATACGTAAATATTAAAATTACCAATAATTTATTTACATGTCTATCTACAATTTGTATAGTTAATATTTGCTTAAGTCTTACTTAAGCTAAGCTAGGTTTAAAAGTCTTCTAGCAAGGCCGGCCACTGTTGCGTTATCTAGAATGTTATTTATGTACTGCAACAAAAATAAAATGGGTTACATATGTCCACTTTGTTTCGTTTAATTTATTTTATTTTTAGATTCCAGCATTCTTTGCCTTTATAAATAAATGTAGGTTGAAAAACAAGAATTATATTTATCTATAAATAATCACGTAAATACATTTGCATTTCCTGCTTACCTTCATCACTTGTTTTTCCACGGGAACCTTCAGTTCAGGCCAAAGGATTTTCAGGGCTTCGGGTGCCATCTGCGAAATGGCTTTGTTAAATAACAAGCCCAGTTCTTCGTCTGACATAAGGTTTTCAAAATTACTCTGAAACGATAAAATTACATTTTTTTACTCAGATTTTGATTTTTTTATATGGGATATTCCTTTTGATTCGGCTGATTTAAAAAAAAAACTTAATCTTTTGAATTATCTATAAATATATAATTTCATAAAATGTTCAGTTTAATCAAAAGGGGTAGGTTTGGTATGAAATGCTCCATATACAGTGTCTGGAACAAATTCATTGAAAAATTAGGCTTTTTTTCTAAAAAAATAAATGAAAAAAACAAGTCAATTTTGTTTTTCAATTATTTTGATGTACAATTTAATAATTTACGTCATTTTTGTAGAATCTCTGACGTAATCGGGCATTTTTTTAAATTGTAATTTGTAAATTCGAATAGATTATGAAGTACATATTTCAGCTCAGGTTCCAGCTGGATCTAGATTTTTAACCGCAATTAATAATTTTTACAATGTTTTAAAAGTCTAAAACCTATCCTCCGTGACTGTTACTCTTTCTAGGTTAACCTATGTTTTCAAATATCTGAGGTAGTAAAAGCATACTTAAAATATCAGTTCACTAAGTAAATTAAACACATCCAAAGCAATCGAATCAAATATAAAATATTAAAAATAAAAGAAATAATTTTTACAACCATGTATGTAGGTGTTATAAAAATTGATTCTATCCTCCGTGAATCTGTTTTTGTTTTAAATTTTATGCAACGGATGGCGCTTTAATCATTTTAAATAAGCAAAAATCTCTATTTACGACATTATAGATGCATGTGATTCCTGAAGGTCAGTTAGAATTTTTATGCAGATGAGAGTGTTGCTGTTTTATAATTCAAAAGTTCATTAATTTGCTATTTAAAAACCTATCCACCGTTAAGTGTAATATCTCAGTAAGTAGATGGTGGAAAACTAGATGGTTGAAAACTTATTGCTTTTAATAATGTTTTCATATTTTATAGTATTTATTAAAGGGCTTTTTAATGATAAAAGTAAAAAGTATTTATAGAAGAAATGTTCATAAACTTTCTCAAAATATTCCATTTCAAGGTCAAACTTTTTCAGTTTATTATTGTTTTTTTGTTATTCTACAAATAGTGTCGATATAGGAAAGTTTTTTGTTTTATGTTTCTTTGTAAGCAATTCTAACATTTAATTCATTTACTAAAAAGGAGGGAGTACAGGTACACTGTACCTGGTACAGGTATAACTTCTACAAAAATGGCGGCAAATATTAAAATTTTACATCAAAATCTGCAGAATTAAAAAGCAAAATCGTGTTTTGGGGAAAAAGACACATTTTTTATAAAAATTCATTAAAAAATATTTGTTCCAAATTTTTGCCGGTGACTGTATATTTTTCACAGACCACTGTGATATTTTCTAAATTAATATTTAAATAAACACACCTTAAGTTTTTAAGCTTTTTAATGATAAAAGTAAAAAGTATTTATTAGGGTGGGCCAAAAAAAAACTTTTAATTTTTTTTCTTTAGGTACCATGAAAATATCGTCCAAGATGACGAAAAAAAAATTCTCCTAAAGTTTGAGCTCTTAATATTAATATTTAGAGGTGGCTCATCGCGATTTTTTATTTTCCATTTAAATAACACGGGAAAAAAACATTTTTTTGTTTGTAATTTTATTGCGATTTAACGAATTAGTGTGTTGTAAAAATCAATACATATTCTTGTAGGGAATTGAACGATCTACAAAAAAGATCTGATATGATTTTTTGCTTAGTCGACTCTTTTAAAAGATATTTGAGGTTAAAGTTCAACCTCAAATAGTAAATGATGACTTTTATAGTTTTCCATGCTCTATTACGAAATATTGGATCAAAAACATGAAATATCATATTTTTCGTGAAGTTTATCGAGTGTTCTTTGGTAAAACAATACAATTTCTACGAAATATCAATAATCAATATCAATAATTTTTTTTTCTATAAGTAGGTACCTACCAAAAAAAACTTTTAATTTTCTTTTCTTTAGCTACCATGAAAATATTGTCCAAGATGACGAAAAAAAAATTCTGATAAAGTTTGAGCTCTTAATATCAATATTAAGAGGTGGCTCATCGCGATTTTTTATTTTCCATTTAAATAACACGGGAAAAAAACATTTTTTTGTTTGTAATTTTATTGCGATTTAACGAATTAGTGTGTTGTAAAAATCAATACATATTCTTGTAGGGAATTGAACGATCTACAAAAAAGATCTGATATGATTTTTTGCATAGTCGACTCTTTTAAAAGTTATTTGAGGTTAAAGTTTAACTTCAAATAGTAAATGATGACTTTTATAGTTTTTCACTAAATATTGTCTCAAAAACGAAAAATATGATATTTCATGTACATGAAATATCATATTTTTCGTAAAGTTTATCGAGTGTTCTTCGGCAAAACAATACAATTTTTTATAAAATATCAATAATCGTTGAAAAAACGGTTTTTTCCTTTATTTAATTTTTTTTTAATTCGAAATTTTTTCTTTACCTGAGTAATGACAAAAAAATTAATCATTTCCTTAAAAAATAATAAATATTCTATTTACACTTGACTATTAGGTAATGTAGAGTAATAAAAGCCATGTTTCAATAATTTTCCAATTAAAATAAAAAATGTTATTCCAGCGTGCACTTTTTCACTATTTTGGAATCAAACTAAATTTTTCTTGTTACAATTGGGATATTTTTGCTGGTGGTTTTTAACTACTCGCTATAAGTATCAAATATACATATACAATAGGGTGGGCCAAAAAAAAACTTTTAATTTTTTTTCTTTAGTTACCATGAAAATATCGTCCAAGATGACGAAAAAAAAATTCTCCTAAAGTTTGAGCTCTTAATATTAATATTAAGAGGTGGCTCATCGCGATTTTTTAGCTAAAGAAAAGAAAATTAAAAGTTTTTTTTTAAATCAAGTACTTATAGAAAAAAAAATTATTGATATTGATTATTGAAATTTCGTAGAAATTGTATTGTTTTACCAAAGAACACTCGATAAACTTCACGAAAAATATGATATTTCATGTTTTTGAGCCAATATTTCGTAATAGAGCATGGAAAACTATAAAAGTCATCATTTACTATTTGAGGTTAAACTTTAACCTCAAATATCTTTTAAAAGAGTCGACTAAGCAAAAAATCATATCAGATCTTTTTTGTAGATCGTTCAATTCCCTACAAGAATATGTATTGATTTTTACAACACACTAATTCGTTAAATCGCAATAAAATTACAAACAAAAAAATGTTTTTTTCCCGTGTTATTTAAATGGAAAATCAAAAATCGCGATGAGCCACCTCTTAATATTAATATTAAGAGCTCAAACTTTAGGAGAATTTTTTTTTCGTCATCTTGGACGATATTTTCATGGTACCTAAAGAAAAAAAATTAAAAGTTTTTTTTTGGCCCACCCTAGTATTTATAGAAGAAATGTTCATAAACTTTCTCAAAATATTCCATTTCAAGGTCAAACTTTTTCAGTTTATTATTGTTTTTTTGTTATTCTACAAATAGTGTCGATATAGGAAAGTTTTTTGTTTTATGTTTCTTTGTAAGCAATTCTAACATTTAATTCATTTACTAAAAAGGAGGGAGTACAGGTACACTGTACCTGGTACAGGTATAACTTCTACAAAAATGGCGGCAAATATTAAAATTTTACATCAAAATCTGCAGAATTAAAAAGCAAAATCGTGTTTTGGGGAAAAAGACACATTTTTTATAAAAATTCATTAAAAAATATTTGTTCCAAATTTTTGCCGGTGACTGTATATTTTCCACAGACCACTGTGATATTTTCTAAATTAATATTTAAATAAACACACCTTAAGTTTTCTTAATTTTACATCTATATCCATGGATGTGATTCTCAAGCGGGGGAAATCATATTTTAATATTGTCGAAGTTCCTATGGATAAATCTGTCAGATTTAACCTAAAATAATACATTTTAATATTAACTCTACCCTGTACATATATATAAAACTCATTTCAAATAAAACCTTACCCAAAAGGACCATCCCCAAATATCCTGAAGGAATCCCCTACCATTCCATTGATTTTGTATTTTCCAGTTGCTGTTAGATACGGAAAGGTGATGTTTAAGTCTAGCTTAAATTTCCAGTCCCCCAAATCGCTAAACTTCTGCTTATCCACTCTAAATTTCGATATGTGCCTTATTGTTACATTTTTGGCATATCCTTTAAGGCTAAAAATACTATTACAAAAAGCAGTCCCCAGCATTTGTATCCCAGACATTCAACAGTCAATTCCTAGAATATCCAGGTGGATCCTTGGTTTTTTTTGTTCGCAGCGCCCCCTAAATTTTAGTTTATGACCTAAAAAAGTTATAAAAAAAAATATTCATATTAAACCGTGCCACAAAGACGATACATTTTCTATTTAAATTACATGGGGGTTTCGGCAAGTTTTACATTTAATTTTTTTCTTCCGATCAAGTTAATAAACAGCAATAAGAGACACATATTTTTATAAGAAATTGAAAGCTGTACAAAAAAGCTTTTCTATGATTTTTTCATAATTTCACTGATTTAAAAGTTATTTAAGGTTAAAGTTAAACTTATAGTAATTTTTTCGATTTTTTTACTTTGACTGCAATATTATAATTATTTTTATGAATTGTTTATTTTTGAAAATATGTGATTTTATTGTATTATTGAAAAAATAAAAATTATTGAAAAGAGAGACAAGAGATTCAAATAAATTCAATTTTTTTATTACATTAAACGAATCTGGTACTAGTTTTACTTAATTTTAGCACGATTAATTTTTTACAAATTTTTTTTATTTTTTGTGAAATTCTACAAAATTTTATACGATTTTATAAAATATTATACAATACTGTACAGTACAGCTAATGACGTAGAAATTATTTTAATAATTATTTTTGCGACAAAATAAAATTCGTAGTTACGCATACGTAGTCTTGAGTATGAGATGCAGACATTTCCGCTATAAGTTATGCTGTGACTTTATGGCACTTTAGTCACGGGCTTGCTCGTGCCTAATAAAACTCGAAACTTTAATGGCGTTTATAAAACTTGATACATAATACCTATACTATTATAAAAAAGATGCCACAGACGATGGGTGATTGACCTACTTCAAACTTCAACTTTGCGACACAAAATCTGTGAAGTGCGACTTCTGCCTTCTGTGGTCAAAGTACCAAATCATACTTTAGTGCGCATGCGTAACTACAAATTTTATTTTTTTGTAAAAATAATTTTTGTGGCTCGGTATGAATATTTTTTTAAATAATTTTTTTAATAATTAAATCATAAACTAAAAATTTAGAGGGCGCTGCGAACAAAAAAACCAAGTTGGTAAATAACGGGTGTGTTCAGAAAATATCAGGAATTTTCGTTTTTTGAAAAAAATATTTATTTATTCGTCTACATTAATGTTGTCGCCTTCAAAATAGTCCCCATTGGATCTTCTGCACATGTGTCAGCTCTTCTTCCAATACTCGAAACACTTCTAAAACTCGATCTTTGGGATAGCCTTTAGTTCTTTCAGCGATGCGCCTTTAATGTCATCTATGCTTGTAAAACGACGGCCCTTTAAGGTTCTCTTTATATTTGGGAATAGGAAAAAGTCAGACAGAGGCATGTCTGGCGAATATGGAGGCTGGGGCATCATTACAGTATTGTTTTTGGCCAAAAATTTTGTTCAAAATTTAATAATTTTGGAACAAATTTTGCTGCCACGAGTTTCACCAAAACATTCGAAAAAATTTCATGGGATGAGCCAATCGATATACCAACGTCATCAGCGACTTCTCTGATGGTTTATAACCATTTCTTCCACTTTTTCCATGTTTTTATCGGTTGTTAATGTGCTTGGGCGTTCGGGGCGTTCGTCATCTTTAACGTCTTCACGGCCATCTTGGAAACTCTTATACCACTTGTGAACTCTTGTTTACTTATAGCAGACTCTCTATAGGCCTTTGTTAACATTTCACAGAATTTATTTCATTTTTTGAGCAAAATTGGATACAAATTCTTTGATCCATTTCTTTTAACGAACGAAAATCGCCGAGCTCATAAAACACGTCTAACCTTAGCGGCTGCCACAGACAAAGTAAACAATGAAAACAGCTAAAGTTTTTATTATACTTCGGGGGCATGTATACCAACATAATAAAGAAAATTTTATGACAACCGGATCCTCCGAACCCGCAAAATTTAACGATTCCCGTTATTTTCTAAACACACGGATTTTGGGAATTGACTTTTAAATGTCGCATTTAACGTACTCAGCAGCATCATGGGAAACGTCAAATTCGATGTTTTTGATGTGTAGCGGATCCAAAATCGGTATGTTAAATTCCGGTATACCGTGAAGAATTCGGTTTCTAAATTCGTTTAGTAATGCGCTCAATCTGTCTTCCACTCTGCCAAATGTGTTTATTATTCTGTCTATTGTGCTCGAAAACAGGTTTACTCCGCCTCGTATCAAATCTGCAATAATTTCATGATAAATAATAATTAAAAAGTAATACAATATTTACTCCCTCATATGCAATTACGTGTTGGAAATATGTAGAAATATACTATTAAAGAAGTGGTCTAATATAAAAAAGTGTGATGTGTGACGTCACGCGTATATTACAAAAAACTACTTGTTTTGTAAATAGTCGTTTTACCTTTCCGGGGACACTGTATATTTCCTTGAGTTTATGTATATGTAATTTTAAAATTACGAGAATATCCCTGAGAATTTTTTTATTTATTTCAATAAAAACAATTATATATAATTAAGGCTTATTTTATTTTAATGACCGAAGTAGTTTTTATAGGTTTACAAGCTATTTTTTAATTGAAAATTTAATTTAAAAATTTTGTTATGATATTAATATACAGGGTGTCTATTTAAAAACCAGCAATGCTCTATACACTGTTTAAAATATCTGTGGTGTAAAGAGTAATATTAAAATGGTGTCAAAATCCAACACCAAGTGGTGTTAATATAAACACCATGAATTATGGTTGAAAATGTTTTATACATCAAACACCAAAACGGTAATTATCTAAAAATATTTGAGAAGTGCACCCACACAGAAAAAAAGGAATAATTCATTTAACTATATTAATTTAGTTGACCCATAAGTATTTATTTAAATTAAATGTGGGAGGGTTAATATAAACAAAGATTAGTTTGACAATACTAAACCAGATAGTATTTTTTTTTAATTGGTTAAATTAACTCAGAAAACATTAGTGAAACCAACCCGCTGTATGGTTCAGTTTACTAAATATGTTATTTGTAAAATAAGAGTTACTTCAACCTAAAGCAATCTGTTTAAACGATTAAAACAATTTGCCGTGCATTCCTGGTTGCATAGTGTGTACCGATCGCTGCAAAGGCGGTGTGGATCACGTGACGTTTTTAAATCTCGCCTCTGTTGACTTACATGAAGAGTATATAAGCTAGGTACTCCTTTGCTTTGGTGTGACACTACAAGTTGTCATATACTAAAGAGACCTTAAATAGGTGGTCCACCTAAGGTGGAAACAGCTGTCAATACTTGAAGTATTTTGAGTTGGTGAAACACACTAAAAACATTATTTTTAGCGAGTTGAAGGTTTAATTTTTTGAAATAATACCACTGGTAATACCCTAGTAATGCGTCAAGGAACTTCCTGTTCCCTTTTTTTCCTTTTTTTCTGTGTAGCATGATTTAATTTGACCAAAAACATAATATTTAACACTGAAAAGGAGTTCAATTTACCCCAGGTAAAATTTATTTTAATATTGTGTGAAAGTTAAATTTGTACTATTTTAGTATTTGAATTAACACCGGACCAACGAACCATATTTGACACCATTTTGGTTTGTATCGATATAGACCATGTATGGTGTTAATTTGGTGTTAAAATGGTCATGCAATTTTGAACAGTGTAAGTCTGGACGTAAAACATTTTCAAAAATTTCTCAAAACCGTTTCTAGGATATCCACTACATATCAATTATTAGTAATAATTTATTACACAGTTCAACATGATTTGCCTCCCAAGAAAATTGTTAACAGATTTTGAAAATAGAGGTTATAAAAACGCACCCGTCTCTCACCGTTTCACAAAATCACGTAATTTAAATTTGTTATATTATTTTAACAAGTACATTTTTGTTATAAATCATTTTTTTTCTTCAAATATGTTTTTACACAATACAAAAATTATACTTACAAAAAATAATAATTTAAATTTTTTTAAATAAAGAAAATTTCTATTTTAAATTTTTGATTTTTTTTAATAAAACAACAGATTTGTAATAAACTTTCTCTTATATTTAATATAAGTTGGAAAAAAATCTTGGCGTTTTAGTTTGGCGATTATACATTGCTTTGGAATCTAAAGTGGTATCAAAACCTAAAAAACACCACTTGAAAAATTTCGTAAATCTGCAAGTCTATTTTCTAAATTTGTAGAAACTTTTCATGGAAGGAAAAAAACAAATTTTGTCGTACTGTGTTATTATATGAGGCCATTATTTGCAAAACTCTCTCTTTGCTATTTGGTTTACTTTTCAGGGGCAACATAAAACTTTTTAGCTTATCGGCACTTCAACTGGCTAAATGGATGTAAAGAAAGAGTTTTTCAAATAACCGATAACCCTTTAACCGATTTTATATAGCAAAAAAGCAGTTTTAAATGTGGCAATACATTCCTTATAAAAAATCCAATGAAATTAGCGAAAAAAGTGAAGTTTGATTATTTTGTCTATTAGAGACTTTTGCAAATAATGGCCTCATATTATAAATATCAATTTAAACCACTAAATATTAAATTAAACCATTTTGTTGTAGTGAAAAATTAGTAAAAAAATTGAAAAACACAAATTAATTCTTACAAAAGTATAATAAACTTAAAAAGCTTAATTAATAAGTTTTAATCAGAGAAAATCATACCCAGTATCCTGAAAAACTTAATGTCTAGGCAGGAATTTTTGGAGATTGTAGTATTGGTCCTTATTATTGACCAAAATTTGAATGGTCAAATTTATTTTTAAATGTTATGTTATTTTAAAATAATAAATGAACTATAGTAAATCAAAGAGAAGAGAATGATGAACTAGCTTGTGTGGTAGCTGATAGGGCTTGACTGGATCAGAATTATCCAGAACAGTGGATTGGTAAAAGAGGACCAATAGAATGGCCTCCAAATTCTCCATAGGACTTTTTCTTAAGGGTTACAAAAACTGAAAAACTTTTTATCGACATTTTTATATAAAAAGTACGTTTAAAACAAAAATAATCGGATAATAATTTCTGCCAGTGGAAGATTTGTCGTGGAATACCCCATATATACGTTTAGTAATTTCATACGTTTCCTTAATAATTCAGTTGCCGTATGGTATAAATAGAAGAAAGTTTCCCATAATATTATATTGTATTATAATGACCCATGCAAAATAAAAACAAACAAAAGTAAAAAAATAATGTTAAAAGTTATCAATATATAATTAATAATGTAAAATTTATTACGTTATAACGGTGGTCAAAACTAAAGTATAGGAAGAACAAAAATGCCAACCAAAACTGATAGCATAATCTAATTATAGACTATTTTGGTAACACAAAAATGTATTTATCAAAATCCCAGCTGATCCTTTATTAAAGTTTTGCATATTTCTTAGTATTTTAAAATTGTTTATGCCATTTCGATAAAATACTCTAGTACCATTATCAAATGTTTTTAAAAATTTGGCAGATACATGACTGAAATATGGATAAATTACATTATAAATACAAAATAATGTAAAATACAGTTTGCAATATCTTATTTATTGTTTTAATGTATCTAATCCAAAACTAATAAATAACTAAAGATTCTTTGAAGCAAAATCGATTACTGCTTGCCTTAAATTTTCAGTAAAACTTTTTCTTGGGTTTTCATGGAATTGTTTTTAACATGAAAACAGTATTTTTAAATTCTTCAGTCTCCGTACAAACATGCTTCTTACATCTAGCGATATCCCCTAGAAAGGAAGAGCATATCAAAACTTTAGTTCGTTCGTCCGACCTCTTCCCTTAATAATTTTTATGCCCTTTACTTATATCTTGCCATTTTGCAAATAAAGCACATACATTCTTGGATGCCGCGAAATTCTCTAGCAATTTCTAAATTTTGAAAATTTGGCAATTGTGGCTATGCAAAAATACCGTTTTTACCATATTGAAGTAGGTAATTTTGAATCACTTAAGTTAAAGTGTTCGTTTGAAAAAGTCTGCAGTAATTTTTATATTTTTTCTTCATGGCTTAACTTGAATTTCGGTTTAATTTTCATTTTAAAATACTATTTTTAACTTTATAGTATGCATTAAATAAACAACTAAAGCAAAATGTCACTTGCTTTATAACGTATAGCAATTTTTTTCATAACCACCTTAATTATTGTTTTACAAAATTTGCTAGTTGTAATTATTTCATAGACAAACTTCCAGTATTTTTTGTTATAAAAAATATTTAAGATATAAATCTTCGTTTTTTTTGTTATGTTTTGTTTTGAGTGGTAAAAAATAATAGGTCACTCAATAAATTAATACTGGGGAGTAAAGTAATTTAAATGATGCAAAGTTTATTATTTTGCTTAATTTTATTAAAATTGTACAGGGAGTTTTAGTACAATAATTGCAAAATAATATATAGAAATAGAAAAACAAAAAAGTTTGCAAAACTTTAAAATAGGATCAGCTGGGATTTTGATAAATACATGTTAGTTTTACCAAAAAAGTCTATAATCAAAATATGCTATCAGTTTTGGTTGGCATTTTTGTTCGTCCTATACTTAAGTTTTGACCACCGTTAGGGTCATTTCATTCCATCTTAACCGCATCTATAGTTATTGATAAAAAACTAAAACTTACCTAAAGTGTTGTTTGTAAGTCTTCCTAAAAACTGACCAATCCTGGGTGCCCTAAAAGTCAGCTGACTATCGACACTGGAGGCCAACATCACCAAAAAAACTAGACCGAACAATTTGCACTCCATTATTTTTCCTTCCACAAACGTCGGCAGCCGGCAAAAGTAAAAGTTTTGTCGAACCGAACATAAAAAAATAATTTGCGACGATGCAGCGCACGAACTAATAATGATAATGAGTTTAATGGAAAATGCTTGTTTTGCGCGTATACTGAGAGTTCTTCAATTCCATTGTTTTATTTACTTTAGTTACAAAACGCTACAGTGGTAATAACATACGTTCAATCAATTTTTTTTTAAACACCGGTTTTCTTGTCAAGGTTGACTTACTATTGCCAACAAATTAATGGTTTAGCTTATTTATTAATTAATTCAAGCATAATTAACTAACGCAAATGGTTGACTTTAAGTAGAGGAAAAAAGTAAAAAAAAACATTTTTTGTAGGAAATTTAGTCTTCTACAAAAAATGTCTATGTTTGTTTTAAACGAAGCATAATCTATTTTATATTTTTTTTATATTAGATAGTTAGGTACTAGTAAAAAAAATCAATAAACCCTAAAGAAAATATTTACATATCAACAAAAAATACCTATCATAACCATTGATAAAAGAAAACTCAAAAACATAAATTCGTTTTTTAAAACCTTAAAATAGATATCTGGAACTTAAAATAGTATATTATGTCTCAAGTTTGATAAACGCCATTTTATACACGAATTTAATTTAGGCACGAGCGAGCTTGAGAGCGAGTGCTTAAATTATTGGGTGTATAGAAAAGTTTATAAACGAGGTGCATACTATACTTTTTCTACGAAAAATACTTATTATTATCTTAAAATGATTTAAATAAAAAATTTGTATAAAGCGCCATCTATGAAACAATAGGGGAATCTGTGTGTCACCGTCAAATGTCAAATTTTTATATTTTATAAAGGTTATAAATCGAAATGTATTTCACAGTGAAAGTAAAGACAATGTTTTATGAGCACTTTACAGTGTAGTCCGTGCTCGAATTTAAGTTACAGTTTACTGCCGGCGAAATTAAAAGGTCAGTACAATGTTCATATAAACTTTTCAAATATTGGCGTTGAGAAACTATTTAATACTTTTGTATTTTTGTATTGAGATAATAAAATAATTTTCACATTTAGTATTATTTTACAAGAAAGGCACTTTATTTTAACGATTGTATGACATTTGACAACTGTCAACTAACTTAAAACTAACTTCAGCCCGTGACTAAAAACCTGTTGCTAACTTCAGCCCGTGACTAAAGCCCCATAAAGCCACAACTTGTCAATGTGTATTTAAAAGGTCACTTAGTGTCTTGGAAACATGTACGATAAAGGGCGTTTTAAAGGTGGGAGTAGAAAAATATATTTATATGGATGGATAAAAATATACATATAAAACAAATAAAATATCAGAGCAATCGGAATACCACCCCCTGAACTCCAAATGTTTTTGACGCTGCCTAATAAAATACAATGCCAACAGAATAAGCTTTGTTTATAAATACTTCCGCATAACCACTTATCATTAAATATTGATCAAATTTTTGGCGTTGGACACCAATATCTGTGTTGTTTCAGTTTCGTTCTTCCTAAAAAAAGGCGTTTTAATTATTGGGAGAATAATATCATGCACAGAATTCATTAAAAAAAACAGAAATATTTAACTAAAGAACACTGTTAATTTTCAACTCTTTTAATATTCATTTTAAGTATTTTTTATTTAAACAAAGAATAAAAAATATATTTTATTAAATAAGGGATTGTTCTTAAATTAAGTGAAAATGTTTTCTCTTTTGAAATCCATATAATTTTTCAATTAAAAACTCAAATAACATTTCAATTAAATATATTTAATATTGCCAGACCACTAAGTTATAATTATTTTAACATTAGATTACTTTGAGAGAAGTACCATTTTAATGAACAAAAATCAATTCATCTTTGCCATGCAAACGTGAGTCAACCTGTAGAACATAAAGGAAAGGGAGGCTGGGAGTCCCAGTTAGCACTGGAAGAATAAGAATACTTGATCATGAAATCTAGCTTAATCTTAAAACAATTTTTAGGCTATTGTCAAATTCAACACTAGCGAATTCTGATAATAAGTGAAACTTACCTAAATTCTTATAAGAATAGGGCTATATTAGAATCAAATATTATGTTTTCTTGTGATACGAGTATATTCTTGTGCAAACGCTACTATTCTTTAGTATAGTGCAGCTTTTTTCCGTGTATGTACCACAATAATAAAAATAAATTTTACTAATCGAGACAAAAACTATAAAAGATCAGACAACAGTTTTATAGTTATTTACGATATAAGTGGGATAAGAGCTTTATTAACGTACGCATGCGAAATTTCCCCAACGAGTGCGTAGCACGAGTTGGGCAATCGCAAAAGTACGTTAATAAAGCGTTATCACACGTATATTGTACAAATTTTTATCTACGCCTCTAAATAAAAAAATAAACGGTAATTATTTTTGTCTAAGACTTAATTTAGGGTTATTTTGACATTTTGACTTTTTTATTTGATTGGTTAAAAGCAGAGAAAAACGCGTGCGTTAATGAACTTCTTATCTCACTCAAAATGAGTGGGATAAGAAGTTCTTATCTCACTGGCGTAGATAAAATAATTTAATCTGAATCAAATGTACACAAATTGCAACACAAACTGCCAGCCACCACATCTTCAGTCATGTGATATTAAACCACCAATTAGAGCAAGCCGAAGCTCTAATTCTCTCGCCTCAAGCACACCGAAAAAAATAATGTAGTTGAGTTAACGTTTGCCTAAATGTTGTTTCATCAAAAAACCTATTGGATTAATCTATATTTTGGTGCACAGAAAAAACGCTAGCATAGCATGAATGGGTGAGCCATTAAACCAATGGGATCTTGTAATCCGTATTCCTGAATAACAGTTCCTATAATACCAATAGGTAGTTAGCACTTGGTTTATAATCGTTTACTGTTTTTAAATTAACAACAAAAGTTATCGCTCCTAAATCTATTGATATTCATATTGATATTTATTTGTTAGAATGTTAGAATGTTATTGCATTAAATACTAATTTGATTTATTTAATAACGTTACTATTGTATGTATACTATGTATACATTTAACGCAATAAATTCTTTGACAATTTGGCAAAATATTTCCCAATTTTGGTTTAATAGTAATTAATTGAGCAAATATCAATTTAGATTGCTTTAATTTTAATGCATTCAATGACAGCCCTGTTCTTGGTACTATGTTAGATTTTTTTCTGTGTGTCAAAGCAATAGTCAGAGTTTGTCAAAGTTTATTTGTTCATTTGGCAGTTAAAATATTGATTTAACATAAACTAATTTTTTGAATTAAAATGTTTATCCTATTTTGATTTAATAGCTGGAATTGGTTGAATCAAATACTGAAATTTTTAGGATTACCTAAAAAACTATTAAATTAACGTTTAGTTGCTCTTTAAATCCAAAACATTAAATTTGTTCATTTAACAAATTGTAAATGTTTGTTCAAAATTTGTTAATTTTGCATTCATAAAATTGCCGTGACGGTGTTGATCACGTGATGTTCTTACATCTCGCCTCAGTTGGCTTACGATAGGAGTATATAAGCTCAGGTAGCCGTTTGTTTTCGGTGTGTTCCACAGTGGAACTAAGACCCCAGTATAGGTCAAATCAGCTGTCTGTCGGTAGGTATTTGAAGTAGGTGGAACGCACTCAAAACAAAAACTCTGGCGAGGGAAGGTTCAATTCTTTCTCTTGATATTAATTAATTCCATTTTCGGACGACTCTCAACGATGTAGTGGGTTGACGCGGTTTGAGCGTGGATTTTAATTTACTATTTATTCTTATAGTATGATTGATTTACTTTTTAATTTTTATTGTGTAGAACTGTACAGTGCTACATAGTAAAAGAACACTTTGTTTGTTCCTTCATTTTGAGGGTATGACATTTATGAATTTAAAAAAACATAAGGCGTACCTACTACCAGAAGGTCAAATTAAAAAAAATACAAATTGGTCATATGACATATCGTTTAAAAGGTCTTTTAAAGCTTGTTATATATAACAACTTATTTGTTTATAAATATATGAATGAAAACAACACTGTTTTAAAGTTTCACTAATTTATTTATGTTTTTAATAATTAACAATTGTTTCGCTACACTGTAGCTTCTTCAGAAGAAGCTACAGTGTAGCGAAACAATTGTTAATTATTAAAAACATAAATAAATTAGTGAAACTTTAAAACAGTGTTGTTTTCATTCATATATTAATAATATGGAGTTTCATCAAGTAAAGGTCGAAACAATCAACAACTTATTTGTTTGATTGTACATTCGCCAAAAAGAACATACTAAAATTTGAAAGTTCTATAAATGGAGTAATTACAAAAATAAAGTAGTATTTATAAATACTATTATAATAATGTTAATAATGTAGTATAAAGTAGTATTTAATAATGTATAATTCCAAACTTGCCGGTTCTAAACATAAAAGGGTGGAGTTTTTACGTTCGCACTGTATATTATATATATTGTATACAAGTTTTTAAATTATCATTTAACATGTTTTATCAATTATAGCAAATTATTTGAACAATTATTATAATTAATTGTCAAATGAGTCATTCAAAGTATACGAGATATTTTTTATTATATATTTTTTGCATGTATAAATATTAAATTATTTTTTTGGCATTAAGGACCGTAAAACACATGAACAATTAAATACAATGCAATACAAACTTTCGATTGAAGGCAGTAATAGAATATTAATTGGTTTTATGTGACCCTAATTCCAAATATTATGACATTAGTATTTCTGTTTTTATCATATTATATCATAATACAGGGTGGCCCATCAAAAACAGTCCAGCAAGGTTTACGGCTTTGAACACTGTTCAAAATTTCATGACCATTTTAACACCAAATTAACACCATACATGGTCTTTATCGATACAAACCAAAATGGTCTTAAATATGGTTCGTTGGTCCAGTGTAAATTCAAATACTAAAATAGTGTAAATTTAACTTTCACACAGTATTAATATAAATTTTACCTGGTGTAAATTGAACTCATTTTCATTGTTAAATTTTATGTGTTTTTGGTCAAATTAAATCATGCTACACAGAAAAAAAGGAAACAGGAAGTTCCTTGACGCATTACTAGTAAGTTACCATGGTACCACTGCAGTGGTATTATTCCAGAAAATTGAACCTTCAACTCGCTAGAGATAATGTTTTTAGTGCGTTTCACCAATTAAAGATACTTCAAGGTCTCTTTAGTAACAAACAACTTGTGTCACACCAAAGTAAAGGACTACCTGAGCTTATATACTCTTCATGTAAGTCAACAGAGGCGAGATTTTTGTTTATAATAGTATATTATGTATCAAGTTTGATAAACGCCATTTTATACACGAATTTAATTTAGGCACGAGCGAGCTTGCGAGCGAGTTCTTAAATTAATGAATGTATAGAAAAGTTTATAAACGAGGTGCATACTATACTTTTTCTACGACAAATACTTATTATTATCTTAAAATGATTAAAATCAAATATTTTTATAGAGCGCCATCTATGAAACAATAGGGTGTCACCGTCAAATGTCAAATTTTGTTATTTTATAAACACAGATTATAAAGGTTATAAAACGAAATGTATTTCTTGAAAATAGCGTTTTTTACAGTGAAAGTAAAGAAAATGTTTTATGAGCACTCTAAAGTGGAGTCCGTGCCCGAATTTAAGTTATAGTTTACTGCCGGCGAAATTAAAAAGTCAGTACAATGTTCATATAAACTTTTCAAATATTGGCGGTGAGAAACTAATACTTTTGTATTTTTGTATTGGGATAATAAAATAATTTTCACATTTAGTATTATTTTACAAGAAAGGCACTTTATTTTAACGATTGTATGACATTTGACAACTGTAAACTAACTTAAAACTAAGTTCAGCCCGTGACTAAAAATCTGTTGCTAACTTCAGCCCGTGACTAAAACGCCTTAAAGCCACAACTTCTCAATGTGTATGAAAACATGTACGATAATGGTCGTTTTAAAGGTGGGAGTCGAAAAAAATATATAAAAAATAAATCCAGAAAGTAAACATACCTATAAAAAAGATATAATTAAAGAATACAATTTTTTAAAAATAAAATTACTACCATGCTAAATTTGCATAAAAAATCAAATCTAGTAAACCAGGTATTTTAGCAAAATTATTTTCTAATGTAAAATGCATTTTTTTATATTTAATTCAAAATCTTCAATTCAAAATGTGTAGAAAGAAATCAACTCTTAGGTATAAGATAAACGTTTTAAAGATAATTACCGAACTAATTTTATAAAATATAAGTGTTTTTGAAGAAAATTGCTGCGCTGCCATTTCGTGCAAAAACCTAAATCCACTGATATGCTAAATCAGTGGATATAAATAAATCAACCTTTCTGCATACGGCCCTTGGTGATTTAATTAAAACATTTGACTAAAGTGAAAAATACTTTTCATCTTTAAAGTTCATGGTCGAGCGATAGATGGTGTTAAGCTATAATAGGTAATTTAAAATTAACTATTAATGATTTATGATTTACAATATTTACAAAGTCAATATTAAAAGCATATAAAATAAAATTTAACATTAAATACAGAATAAATATTAAATGGTCGGTAAATTAAACAATTAATAGCAACTCGGCACTGATGAGTTCCACAGAACGAAACGCGTCTGTCGATGCTGGCATGAGATCCTGAACGAAATTAAACAAAAGCGGTGATAAGAGAAATGCTTGCAGAATATTAATTAATATATATATCTAGCGAGTTTGTCGCAAAGTTTTAATACTTTTAATACAATAACTATAATAAATTACCTAGCCGGGAGGGCAAATACATCTTTCAGGTCATAGATGGCGTAAAGCACGCTATATGTTCCGTACAGATAATGTCATGACATATAGAAGACCGCGTTGAAAAATGATAGATGGTACCATTGTGCAGGCAAATTCTCTTCTCACCGCTTTTGAACTATTCCTTTCCAATATAAGGAAAGGAATTAAAGTTTTCGTTTGGGTCTCAAGCCTATAGCAACTCGGCACTGATGAGTTCCACAGAACGAAACGCGTCTGTCGATGCTGGCATGAGATCCTGAACGAAATTAAACAAAAGCGGTGATAAGAGAAATGCTTGCAGAATATTAATTAATATATATATCTAGCGAGTTTGTCGCAAAGTTTTAATACTTTTAATACAATAACTATAATAAATTACCTAGTCGGGAGGGCAAATACATCTTTCAGGTCATAGATGGCGTAAAGCACGCTATATATCCCGTACAGATAATGTCATGACATATAGAAGACCGCTTTGAAAAACGATAGATGGTACCATTGTGCAGGCAAATTCTTTTCTTACCGCTTTTGAACTATTCCTTTCCAATATAAGGAAAGGAATTAAAGGTTTCGTTTGGGTCTCAAGCCTATAGCAACTCGGCACTGATGAGTTCCACAGAACGAAACGCGTCTGTCGATGCTGGCATGAGATCCTGAACGAAATTAAACAAAAGCGGTGATAAGAGAAATGCTTGCAGAATATTAATTAATTAATACAAAGCCGTAAACCTTGCTGAACTCTTTTCGATGAGCCACCCTATATAATTAAAAGATGATATACCATATTAAAACATTTATTTACTTTAAAAGTACAATTTCTTAAATTTATCATAGCTTTTTTAGGAATTTTTATATTGTTAATAGATTGTTGAATCTAACTTTGGTTTTTATATTTTTTTTAGATTAATTTTTATTTTACCCACTGGAGCTTTTATAAAATGCCATGGTTCAATTTTCAATTCTTTATCACTTTCTTCACTTAAACGGAGTTGAAAGTTTTTAACCAAGTAAACTAGAGCAATTTTTAATTGTAATAATCCGAATTGGCGCCCTGAAACAGATCAAAATGGATGTATTATTATTCTCGAAACTTAAAAATGCCCTACCTAAACAAGCCCTTGGTCCTTCCCCAAAAGGCATGTACACATATTTCGGGATTTCAACGTTATTCAAAAATCTATCAGGATTAAATTCATCGGGCTTTTCGAAATATTTGGGATCTGTATGTAGTCCAGTGACGGGAATAATTACCGTGGTGCCAGGTTCTACAGTTACAGACATTTTTTTGAAACTGGAATCTTCAGATGTGGTGTATGTGTACGAATTGTTGCATCTTTTTCCCAGCGTAAGGAATATTGGATGAAGCCTTAATGTTTCTAAATTTAAATATTCTTTTATATTTTTATTATTAAATACAGGGTGCGCCATAAAAACCGCACACATTTCGAAGCGGAATTTATCAGCACTGGAGCAAGCTAGAACTTCCTTTAAGTTCTCTTTTGAAGGGAACACTCAAAAAGTTTTTTTGGTATGCTTTAGTATCGATTGAAGACAAGAGAACATTGAAAAAAATTGGTTATTCCGATTTTCAACTTTTTCGATTTTTTGCAGAAGATTCGTATTGTATCTTCGTAGCTATGGAAATATATTTTGTCTATTTAATAATCAACAATCAGTGTCTTAAAATTCTTCAAGAGATGAATAATTTACCCGAACACAGATCATTCGTTATTGAATGATTTTTCAAAAATAATGAATCTGTGAATTTAACCCAGCGCCAGTTTAAAAACACCATTCTGCGATTTTCATTTCTACAATAAAAGTTAAAGTTTATTCAATCAAATATGTTTGGAGCAATTAAAGTTAAGGGATTGATGCATGGGCGCCGCTACATAGGGACAGGGGGGGGCCCGGGCCCCCCCCTGGAAATTGATACCCAGAAATTCCGGTACTCCATAATTTGACGTTAAGTGCTGATCGTTATCATTTGTTCATTATATTTTAATTTAACATAATTTGTATAGCGTATAGTTACATAATTTGTATAGGGTGTTTCATTTACAACGAAATTTTTTTTTTCTTGCTAACACATGAAAATTTTGTTTTTTAGGTTGAAAAAAAAATTCCCTGAAAATTTGAGCCCTTAACTTTTATTCTAAGTACTTCCTTTTTAATTTTGTAGTTTTTCCATATAAAAAAGATGTATTTTTAATCATTTTTACTTTAAATTTCTATATTTTGGCTGGGTTTTGAATTATAATTTTTATCACCATAATTTCCTGCATAGTATTCACGGTTTTTGAAAGGCCCTGCATCAATTTTGTTGTAGGAAATTTAATTTTTGACAAAAAAGGTTTTTACGTTCTTATCACTAAAGTGCTTTGTTTAAGAGATATAAGCAATTCAATAACCAAAAACAAAGAAAAAATAGGTTTTATTGAAATTTATGTAATTTGATTAAACAACTATATATTCCTTATATCTCTTAAACAAAGCACTTTAGTGATATGAAAGTAAAAACCTTTTTTGTCAAAAATTAAATTTTCTACAACTTTTTTATTTGAACTTTTTCGGTAAAACCAGTCATTCGCTCGATTTTCTCAAAAATATGTGAAAAGAGTGAAAAAACGACTTTTGGAGCTACTATAGTATACAACCAACGTAAATAAATCAAAAACAAAATTGATGCAGGGCCTTTCAAAAACCGTGAATACTATGCAGAAAATTATGGTGATAAAAATTATAATTCAAAACCCGGCCTAAATATAGAAATTTAAAGTAAAAATGATTAAAAATACATGCTTTTTATATGGAAAAACTACAAAATTAAAAAGGAAGTACTTAGAATCAAAATTAAGGGCTCAAATTTTCAGGGAATTTTTTTTCCAACCTAAAAAACAAAATTTTCATGTGTCAGCAAGAAAAAAAAATGTTCGTTTTAAATGAAACACCCTAGAGTATACTTAAGACGGCTGTACTAGAGATTCCTCGGCGATACAATTTTTTTATATTTATATATTTACCAAAAAACTGTGATGTATTTTTTGCAATATGTACCAATATCAATAAATAGGTAAATATACATATAAGGATAATATTTTATTTGGCTTAAGTTTAATGTGAACTTCTACAGTACAACTTGATTATAAATAACATCTATCAAACTTGTAAAAAACTTTAAGGGCCCCCCCCTAGACGAATTCCTTCCGGCGCCCATGGATTGATGTTAACATAATAATTATTACAAGTATTATATTCAGCCCATAACAAAATATTATCAATTTAAAATTACTTGTTATAGTGTGAATGGCTCTTTACATTTAAACCTAATGGAAATGTGTACTTGAAAATGTTAGAAATGATTGTATTCAAAGTTTATCTGGCAAAATTAACAATATTTAATTAAATATAAAATTGATTTATATTAAAAGTTATATTGCGTCAACCAAAAATTAAAAACAAATGAAATAAGAATAGTCTTTGTTTCTTTTAATGTTTATGGTTTGTATTCCAATGTAAACTAAGGTAAAGTAAGTTATTACTGTCTTACAGTGAATACCAATGTTTTCACTGTCTTGAAAAATACTTGTTATTTGCCTAATTACCATTCCCATTTTTTCAATGCGGCCGATATATTCAATTTAATGATTGCTAAAATTCAGACAGACTTAATCTTGAGCTCCTAAAAATGATTTCTCTAAGACGTCATCCCTGATAGCAAAATTTGATTTTAAGAATATGACCCGGAATAATGGAATATTCTTAGAAGCTTCCCTTATTGCTAAGAATGTTCTTAGCAGCTTTAAAACATTCAATAGATACCCTTTTAATGATGCAATTAGATTCTAAAAAGCTTCTTAAAACATTCTTAAAAAGCATCCCAAGAACATTTTAAGAATACGTTTTTGGAACGTTCTTAGAAGGTTTCTTATGGAGCTTCTAGAAAGCTTTTGAGAATATTTCCAAATATGTGACGACAAATACGTCTCACTGTCATAATATGACATGTATTTATCGTCCCCTTAAAAAATTTTGCGACATATTAATATATTTATATAAAAATATTAAATAAACAATTTGACCTCTAAACCATAAGTTGTACAACATTATTTCATAAAAAGTAAAATTTAAAAATTTTGTGGGATAAGTCAGATTAGATTGAAGATGAAGATAGTTAGGATTATTATACATAAAAATGTTAATTTAGAAATAACAAATGGGTACCTATAAAAATTAGTAAATATTTATTTTTAACATAAAATAAAATACCTATAGTAAAAGTTGTTATCGAATATTGTTTTAATTTAACAAATAACTATACAAAAATATTTTGGATAGTTTTTTTACTTAGTATTTAATGCTAATTAGTAATTAGTAATTAGGTACTTAAGTATGGGTATAAGTATACCCACATACGTAGTTTATGGTATATTTTACTATTATTTAGGTAACTGAACTAAATATGCTTAACAGGAATATTCCTAAATGAACTTTCTATAGCAATTACTTTCTTAACATTCTAAACATATGTTTAGAGTAGACTAATTTTTACCACTAAAACTTTGCACCTTCTAAGAACCTGCCTATAGGCCAGTAAGAATATTCTTAGGATCATGCTATATTTCTTCTTTAGAAGAAATATGGCATGATCCTAAGAATATTCTCACTGGAAGGTTTAAAAAACATTCTTAGAATAAACTGTGCTATCAGGGATATTGTGACCTCTGTAAGATGTTTTTCAACAGACTTCGTACAAAAATCTTTCTTAATTGGTTGTTTCACCTCTGAAAAGCACCCTCGCGTTTTTTATGGCACGCCCTATATATTGTAGACATTATAATGCTTACCCATTATACAAGAGTCCAGATATTTCATATCCTGAACAACTTCATATGTCATTTTATCTTCACAATCATTCAATTTTTCTTCAATTTCATTTCGTAATTTACTTTGAATTTCCTCATTTATACTCAGTTGATAAATAACATAAGTTAAAACGCTTGCGCTGGTGTCATACCCATCCATAATTAAAGCTGAAACACCTGAGGCTATCTCAATTAAATTAAAATCTTTCGATTGATTTTGCAGATGATTAAGTACATCATATCGGGTAATATTGCTGGCTTGTCTATATTTTAAGCATTCTTCCACGATTGATAGGGTTTTTAAGTCAACTGCTTTATTAAATACTCTTAAAAAAAATATTATTTAGTATATTGACTGATTGACAAAGTCAACACACTGTAAACTCACTCAATTTTAAATAGATTAAACCAGTATGGGAGTATAAAAATAAAGTTCGTAGTAAAATCACCCCACCCAGGCGTGATAAAATTATTAGCAATAAATTTAAAATCACCGTCTTCGTCTTCGAAAGCCTTTGCATCGATTCCAACCGAAAAATTTGCCACATTTTGCAAAGTGAATTTTCCCATCTCTGATCTGCAATCTATTGATGTTTCCTTTGACTGGGCTATTTGTTTGTTTAAGTATTCCACAAACTCTTGGCCGATTTCGTTTACAATGGGAAACAGTGATTTCATCTTAAAATGTTTTAAATTTTTAACTGTCGTTTCCCTGCCACTGCTTTTTGCCAGAGAAAATTTCCACAAGTATATGAAAAGCAGTGGCGGCTCGTGGGTGTATGGGAGGGTGAGGCTACATGAGGTTAAATTTGTTATTCTGCGTCGCGTTGCTTTTGTTTAAAATGACCGATAGCCCTACTAAATTATTATAAATTAAAAAAAACTAAAAAAAACAAAACATAGAAAATATCAAAGCAATTTCAACCGAATTTAAAAACATAAATTCGTTTTTTAAAACATAAAAATATATTTATATGGATGAATAAAATAAACATATAAAACAATTGGAGGAGCAAATGCAAGAAATGCCTTAGTCACAAATAGGTGATTCTGAGATATTTCAGTTTAAAGGTGAGTCATTCCATGAAATTTCACCTAATGACAAAAGCTCGACATCTCAGATTAAACTAGGATTTGAAGATCAATGCTTGGGATGAACTAAAATCACAATAATATTTTTTTATTTAAACACCCTGAGAAATTAGGCGAGGCCATGTTGACCAGTTTTCATAAAATATTACCAAATCGGTTATTTATTAATATTTATTATCGCTTAATATTTTGTTTTAACTATAAAACATTGTACTTTTTTATATATATACCTAAAATTATACAAATATTTTTAAAAGTGAAGATTTTTTAGTGCTAAATTCACGCTTAGTTTAACTGAAAAGTGATTTTTATATCACTGATATTATATAGTAGGCTATGAAAATTTGATTTGGTGTGTATTTTTAATTAAAGTACTTATAAATATCGATTAAAATATAAAATACAAAATTATAAAAAAGTACCCAAATTTCAGGAAAAACCATTTGTAAATTTTTTAAAAAAATTGTGTATTTGCCTTCCTAAGAAGATACAACGGTTTAAAATGCTATATTTTTTACATTTAAAAAATATTTACATGTTGACATTAGCTATTTTCGCGGAACTAACTAATCCCGAACTAATTCCGGACATGCGTTTTTTTTAAATTTGGGGTTAAAAATTTAAAGTGCGCATGACAAATATTAAAATGCGCATGCCTATACTAGGATGTCCGAACTGGTTCGGGATTAGCACCGCGAAAACACCTATTTTTACATGTTTACATATTTTAAAATCTCCGTTGGACAATTCCTGAATAAGAAGTGTCGAAGACTGATGAAATGTGATATATTATATCAAAATATCGAATAACCTAGTTCAAACTCTTTTAAAACTAAGAGTAAATGAGGGTGCACCTATCATTTAAAAAAATTTGTGTATAAATATTTAGTAATTTATTTACCTTTAATTTACCATTATCTGATTTCATTGACAAAATATTATCAGCAATATATTCTTTAAAAAAGCATCAGTATATTTCAAAATATCAGGCAAAAAATGATTTGCTTCCCATGCATGCATGCATGCTGAAAATTTCTCCTCCGTTGTACAATACGAAAATACTATTCTTAAAGAACTTAATTTCATAAAATTAAATTTTTCCCCATTAAAAAAATAATATATTTTACTTATGGATGTGGGGACAATATAAAAATAAAAATATTTTATTAATTTGGGATATCACAAAAATGACTGGTTTGGAGACAGAGTGGCATTTTTTTGCCACATCGCACGGAAAAGGACCTTGTGATGGAATAGGGGGAACCGTTAAGAGATTGGTTTCATAAGCAAGCCTGCAAAGACCATATAAGGATCAAATTTTATTACCTTTAGATATGTTTTACAATGAAAATATAAAAGGAAAACATTTTTTTTTATATAAAACCTAAAATAATAGAACAACAAAAATTAATCCTTGTACTAAAAAATACTAGAAGTTTTCATTCATTTGTGCCTAAAAATTTACAAATTATTATATCAAACCGTTTTATAAATAAAAAATATTAAAAAGAACAAAATTTGGAGCTTTAAAAAACCAATAATTAATTATTAATTATGTTAAATGTTATTAGGGTTACCTTATACACGGAAAAAAATCTATACTGATTCCAAGAAAATTCAACTCTATCCAAGTATAGCTTAGTTTCCCTATTCCGGAAGTAAATTTATACTTGTTTCAAGTATCCTCATATTCTTATAAAATAAAGATAGCTTCGGTTTAATCTAAGATTACTGCTATACTAAAAATAAGAAACACACTAATTTTGAGTTAAGTATACAAATTTGTCTTCAATGAAGAGTACGGTATTCTTGTTGTAACGTTAGTATGTACTTCATCAAAGTATAGTTTCTTTGTAAAATCTTTACAGTATTCTTGATTTAAGAATATACTTTCTTTAAAATTTATTTATTTATACTTATTGTAAGTACACGCTTTACTTGCATAAAATGCTTGTATTCTTACTTTTCCTTTTTTTATATTTGATAAAAGTATAGTATATATTTAAAATAACTTTACACTATTCTTAAAGAAAGTGGTTGATTAGAAAAAAAAATTCCCTCGTCTAGCGACTCGGAATAATTTTTACAAAAAAAACATTCGGGACCCTGAAAAATATTTGTATTAATTATTCTACTACTACGGAAAATACAAGTGAAAGTGAAAATATAATCGTTATGACAGTAATTTAACAGTATTTTTGGCATATTATTTTAATTATTTTAATGTACTAAAGTACTAAGTATAATAGGCACTGATATCACAATAGGTTTATTACCTAATAGTCTTAGAGGTATTAGAAAAAGTACTGTCAATTTATATAAATTCATTCTTTCACGGTTAATTAACATAGATACTATATTTTACATTTTATTTTTTTAAGTACCTAGGTATCACATTTTTGGTGCTATATGTAAAGGTAAGGTTTTTTAATCACAATAGTTAATATTTTTTTAAGTAGGTATTTTTATTGTCAGTAAAATTTATCTCCAGCTAAATATTATGTAAAATGAGTCTCTAAGAAGGCTACCATTATCATCGTAGATGGTTTGGTGTTAATTCTTCAATTTTTTCTCTACACTTGATCCTCAATCCTATTTTTGGAATTAATTCCTTTAAATTCTCCTCGCTTAGGTTTACCATAATATCGATATCTATCTCGTTTTCTAAAACAAAAATAATATAGCTGAATTGGAGGCTATAGCCTTTCTGCTGTTTATGTTTTATTGTCTATTACCTGTCGTATGCTCAGGCCCGTTCCTGGGGTGTCTGGCGCCTGCGTGCAGCATTCGTTGGTGCGCCCCTTTTATATTTAAATATAATACATTAAATATTTGAATTTTAAGCCGTAAAATTTTAAAAATATATATTTTGCGACAAACTGGCAATATGTAATTGAAAATGTAAAAAAAATCGCTTAAATTAAGTATAAAAAATATTTATTAAATTACCAAACAAACAAGAAATAACATAAGGGCATCTATTTTTTCGGAAAAAAATCGAAAAAACACGTTGCTAAGTAATATTTTAACAAGAAGCATGAGTGCTGCTGGCAACAAAAATACGAGTCGAAGACGAGGATTTTTGCAACTGCACGAATGCATTTTGTTAAAAAATATTACTTAGCATTGTGTTTTTTCGATTTTTTTCACAGGAAATATTAGATGCCCGAATGGTATTTGACAAGACTATTTCATGAGTAACAGTTAACAATTAAAATATAATTTTTGGACAACAGCTGTCAAGTTTTGCCGCAGGTAAACTCGAAAAAACTGCTGACAGGTGCTGTCATACAGTTTTTCCACCTAGAAACCATTTGTAGTTCAAAATTGAGCGTTTGTGATTGGTGGAAATTAAGACAAGGGAAATAGTCAGTGATAAAAATACTCTGAAGAAAACAAGAAAAACAATATAAACAATATAATAACTACAACTGGTTTTTAGTGACGTACTCTCTAAAAATGACTAGTTTTCAAAGTAAAATATATTTTCCAGCTTATTATTTTGTAAAATTGTCCCCTGAATCCGAAAATACCGTCAAAAATTATAAAAGTAAAGCAGTTTTTAAGATATAGCCATATTATATGGAAAATTTACTAAATCTCAAAAGCGTTCTACTTTTATAACTTTTGACGACATTTTCGGATTCAGCGAACAATTTTACAAAATAGTTGACTGCTAAATATCCGGGATACAAATTGCTATTAACAATAATTATTAGTCGCTGCTTTTTCGCTATTGCAATTAGACTAATTGAATTAGTCATTTTTGACTAATTCTATTTTAGAGAGTTAGGTACTACTGTTAAACTTTGCTACCGTCAACTGCAACTATCAAACAAATACTAAAGATAATATGACCATTTCTCTCCTTTTATTTTGATCCTCATATCAAAACAAAATAAGCAACCAATATCAAAGCGGCAAAAGGCGCTTAATAGCGACCGAAAAAAAGAGCGGCCGACGCAAAAAAGCAGAAATCTTTATCCAATGTATTGGTGGATTTATGCAGCACAAATTAACATTAAGATTAACTTTAACATTAACATTAAGATTAAGATTAATTTAACATTAATAGGAGGGTATTTATGCAGCAAAATTAGTAGGAAATTAAGCATGCGTATAAGTTAAAGTAATTTTGACATCTGACATTTTTGGTTTGTTTGAATTTTGTTTTAATCCCGTTTTAGCATCTGTTAAGTAAAATAAATGAAAACTATAAACTCCACGTCAAACAATAAACCAAAGAACACAATCATTGAATAAAAAATCAATCATTCAGCATTAAGTTTCATTTTATTTTCGGGTATGTTGGCATTACTGACACGGTTTATTTAAAAATTGCGCCGCAAACCTGCGCAGGAGGAATAAAAATTAACATTATCATTAAGAAGATAAAAGTTGGCCATCTCTTAATGTTAACTTAATGCTAAAGTTAATGTTAATGTGTTGCATAAAAGCTTCCAATGGATTACGTTCATTTAACTTCTTAATGTTAATGTTAATCTTAATCTTAATGTTACCTTAATGTTAATGTGTGCTGTATAAATCCAGCATATGTTTAAGTATCATATGCAAGAAAGTTTATCGTTATAAAGTACTGATTGACTCTTTGATTTTGCGCCCCCGAAATGTTGCGCCTGCGTGCGTGCACGCACTGCACGCTCGCCAGAAACGGGCCTGCGTATGCTATCCATTTTACACTACAGTATACCTATCCATTTTACACTACATTTTTACGATCATGCCTAGTTAATTACTTTAAATTAATGAAATATTATTTACTTACCCAAAAATGTGTCTAGTAAACATTCTAAGCCCCAATTTTTAAGTTTCTTCTCCATTATTTTTTATTAAAAATAACATCCAGACCGAAGAAGGAAAAAACGAACTGCCGGTGCCGACACGTACACACGCTACCACCATAGAACACAGGACAGAACTGAACACAGAAACTGCGTCTTTTCTTTTAGCGAAGCGGTCTTAGAGGGTGGACGGTATTTACTTAAGCGAAGAATAAGGTATTTGTTTTAATAATAGCTATACTTAAATACAGTATAGTGTATTCTTTGTTCTAGTCTTATACTTAAATTGAAGTATAAGCGTTCTTGTATTAAATATACATATATTTAAATAAAGTATACCGAAATTTCATACAAATATACAGAATACTTAAATCAAGTGGCAATATTCCGCTTTGAGTAAACAACTAGAGGTCTTTCATCTAAGTATTATTGTATATTTGATTTAAGTATACCAATTTTCTTTAAAATAAAATACCTTTAAACTCAATCCAAGAATACTCATCTCAAATCAAGTAACAGTTTTTCTTAAAAATTAAGTATATCCCATTACTTAGTTTAAATGTACGCTAATCTCATAGAAATAATAAATATACTTAAATCAAGTTCCTAACATGAAGTATAGAACTATAGGGAATGTTATTAAATTTAAATTAACAACTACCTTAATAGATTAATAGATAAATTTAAGATTCCATGTAGAAAAACAATATAAATGTTACCTTTAACATAGTTTTGTATTATAAATGAACTAACACGTGAATAGCATTGTTCAAGATAAAAAAAACAAGTTCTCTGTTAAAATTATTGCTAAAATAGACATAATTATTCACTTAGGCATAGTACCAAAATTGTTCTTGTGTTAAATTAAATAAGTAAATCTGATTGTAAGAAAAAATTGAACCTACACCTCGCCAAAGATTTTTGTTTTGAATGCGTTCCACCAACTATAAATACCGACAGACAGCTGTTTCGACCTTTATTGGGTCTCATCTCTCATCAAACAGCTGTCTGTCGGTATTTGAAGTTGGTGGAACGCATTCAAAACAAAAATCTTTGGCGAGGTGTAGGTTCAATTTTTTCTTACGAATATTACCAGTGATGGGTCAAGAAAGTTTCTTAAAGAAACAAAGAAAATTGAATGTTTACCTTAATGTTTAGCCCGTTTGGGTTAATTCTAGATTCCTTTAGGCCATATTAGTATCTGTGATACAATTGCTGTGTGCAGTCCCGGTTGCATAGTATGTACCGATTGCGGCAAAGGCCACGTCGTTTGACGGTGTGGATCACCTGATGTTCTTACATCTCGCCTCTGTTGACTTAACAACCGAGCATATAAGCTGAGGGAGTAATTTGTTTTGATTGTGTTCCACTACACCAAGTTGCCCGACACTGATGAGACCCAATAAAGGTCGAAACAGCTGTCTGTCGGTATTTGAAGTTGGTGGAACGCATTCAAAACAAAAATCTTTGGCGAGGTGTAGGTTCAATTTTTTCTTATGAATATTACCAGTGATGGGTCAAGAAAATTTCTTAAAGAAACTAAGAAAATTGAATGTTTAAATCTGATTGAATGTTTAAATCTGATTGGTTGCAATCATTTAACAGTAATAAAAATAACATAGGCGATCCACACCGAAAAAAATAATGTAGTTGAGTTAACATTTGCCTAAATGTCATTTTTAAAAATGTTGTTTCAACAAAAAACCTATTGGATTAATCTATATTTTGGTGTTAAAGCAAAAGTCAGAGTTTGTCAAAGTTTATTTGTTCATTTGACAGTTTAAATATTAATTTAACATAAACTAATATTTTGAATTAAAATGTTTATCGTACTTTGATTTAATAGCTGGAATTTGTTGAATCAACTACTGAAATTTTTAGGATTACCTAAAAAAAACTATTAAATTAACGTTTAGTTGCTCTTTAATCCAAAACTTTAAATTTGTTCATTTAACAAATTTAAAATGTAAAATTTGCATTCATAAAATTGCCGAGAATGGCGCTTCGAACACTCACGCCACGTCATTAGACAATGACGTTTTCTTACATCTCGCCTTAGTTACCTTACGATTAGGTGTATATAAGATGAGCTATCTGTTTGTTTAAGGCAGTGTTACCAGATTCTGTCAAAAAAGGACCGTACGTTTCGTTCGAATTTACCTTAATTACAAAATGACACAATGAAACAATGCAAATAAATGCAATTATGTCAAGTTGACGTTATTTAATATTGTCCATTGAGTCATTTTTGTAATTAAGGTAAATTCGAACGAAACGTACGGTCTTTTTTTGACAGAATCTGGTAACACTGGTTTAAGGTGTGTTCCACAGTAGAACTTTCACTACACCATATTGCCCGACACTGTTAAGACCCTCAATACAGGGCGAAACAGTCTGTCGGTATTTGAAGTAGGTGCACCATGGAACACATGATACAAAGATGTATCATGATGTATCATGGGTGGAACACGCTCAAAACAAAAACTCTGTGCGAGGTGAAGGTTCAATTCTTTCTATTTATATATAATAATATATTATTTCCATAATTTTGCTTTGGATACCAACTTTTAAAGAATTTTACATTTTCAGAATGTTAATTTAACATTTTATTGGTGTTAAGTGAATATGCTAAAAAGGTTACCTGGACATTTCAAGAAATTTACCTTAACACTCTAAGAATGTTAAATTAACCAAATTAGCAGATTAGAACAAATATTCTTATTTTGTTCATTTGACTGTTATTTGTTGTTCAATTAAACAATACAATTTGACATTTTTAGAAGGTTAAGTAAACGTGCAAAAACCATTGCTTGTATTTAAAGTGCATAAATAGTTGAATTAATATTTTTTTTGTTGTTTCAACAGCTTATTTTTTTCAGTGCATCATATGTAATATGTAAGATAATACAAATATTGTTTGTTTTATTTTATATTAATTATTATGTAAAGTCGCGGCGAATGTTTCAAATTGCGTCATGTCGAATGTCAAACACCGATTTCTCGACATACTGTTAACCTAGCGGTTCCTTGGATTATATACTTAAAAGAAAACAACAATAATTGTAATGTCTGTGCTTGGTTCAGAATTTGATGACGCAATTTGAAACATTCGCCGCGACTTTACATAATAATTAATATAAAATATATTTTAAAATCACATTGTTTTATGGTTAAAACAAAATATTACGCGATACAGAATATTAATAAACAACTTAGTTATAAAGGGTTTTCTTAGACACCGATTTGGTAATTTTTTATGCAAACCGGTCAACATGGCCCTGCCTAATTCCTTAGGGTGTTTTAATAAAAAAAAATTATTGTGGTTTTTGTTCATCCTAAGCATTGGCCTTCACACCCTAAAAGTTTTAAGAAAATCCAATCAGGTCAGCTTTCAATTTTTGTCAAATTTGGTGAAAAATGATAGAAGGACTCAGGTTTATTTTTGATTATGAAATATTGCACAAAATTTTATAAAATTATAATTATGATCAAAATGTGGGTGTGCATTGTATTTCCTGGTAGAAAGTGGATTTGACTTCCATGATAAAAAAAGGAAAAACATTTTTGTTATATCCAAAAAATATAATAATTGGGACTTTTTTATTTTGTCAAAAATTTAAGATTATATTAAGGAAAAATTTGTTTATATTTAAAAAAAGGTTTGCTGGTAAGTAGAAGCTTCAAAGGCTATAAAAATTTCGCCTCTGTTCGGTGGACTCTCAACGCTTTAGTTGGTTGGCGGGTTTGAGCGTAGATTTTAATTTATCATTTATGCTTAGTATGATTGTATGATTGATTGTTTTTTTATTTTTTGTTGTGTAGAAGTGTAGTAAAAGTATACTTGTAATAGGTAAAAAGCTAAATACAAAGGGTCGTTCCTTCCTTCATTTTGAGGGTAAGGTGCGACCTCAGAGGCCTACCCTCGCGAGCCGCCACTGATGAAAAGATTTTTTTAAATGTTCACGTACTTTACCACTCGTGAAAGCTCCCGTTAATTGACTTCTTAATTTTTTCCATTCTGCATCATTTGAAACAAAAGGATTTCTTCCAATTAATGGGTTTTTATGTTCTGGTACCTCAACATCATTATTTTCGAAACATTTAAAATGTTTTACTGTGACGTCTTTTATAAAATCAGGATCCTTTATTATTAAACATGGAGTTGCTGCCCTGTAAACTCCTACGAAAGGATGGTCTTCATATTGCCTGAAAATCATTTGAAAAGTGTACAATGTACATGATGGTTTGCTGGGTGTACAAAAAGGGCGTCTCTGTTTATTTACTGCGAAACTTGGCAACTTGTAACATTGTTACATAACAATGTTACATTGCCGTTATGAAAATGATACATAACTGTTACGTAACATTAACCAAAATGTTATTTAACGATTGTAATATTACAGTTACATAACCTGACGGTTGCAAATAGGTTCCTATTTCACACTCATTGAAGTAACATTGTTACATTGCCGTTATGTAAGTGAAACATAACTGTAACGTAACATTAACCAAATTGTTATGTAACGATCGTAACATTACAGTTACATAACCTGACGGTTGCAAATAGGTTCCTATTTCCCGCTTTTTAAGTAACATTGTTACATAACAATGTTACGTTGTCGTTGCATAAATGCATTATAATTGTTATGTTGTTGTTATGTATCTTTTTAATGGACTACAACGTTACATTGCCGTTATGAAAATGAAACATAACTGTATGTTAAAATTAACCAAAATGTTATGCAACAATCGTAATATGTAACATTAAGGCGGCGCCAGACATGTGGCATTCGGCGAGTACCGAGCGACTGCTCGCCGAATGCCGAGTAGTGTGGACGGGTTCGTCGCTACTTGCCGATGACAAATTTTGGTGTTTTTAGAGTGCTCCTGTATTTCCCGTGGTTTGTCGGTATTTTATACAACATCAAAGTAAACGAGTATTCGCTGTTAAGCTTTGAATCTGTATCCACATATTCGTCCTTTTGCAAGCAAAAGTGTAGAGCTAGAAAATATCTATATATATATAGCAAGTATATATACTTGCTATATATATATAGATATTTTCTAGCTCTACACTTTTGCTTGCAAAAGGACGAGTATTCAGTATTGGCTTATATTTGTTTATCGAAATGGATAACGATACAGTGCTATTAGCTACTTTTACAGTCATATCTTGTGGTAGTATGTTATTGGACAAAATAAAATCTAAAAACACAAAAATTTTCTACAAAAACCCACACAAAAACCCAATATAATTTTTTTAAAACCAGTTTTTTGACCAACCCTGCAATAAATAATAAGAAACAATTCGGTAATTCAACAATAGGTATATGTACCTATTGTTGAATTACCGAATTGTTTAATTTAAGGGCTTGTTTGACCAAATCGATCAATTAGATTTCAAGCTATACTCAAAAACGTCAAAACACCTCCGAAAATTGAAAAAAACAAATGAAAATTCAAATTTCAAAAAGGCTTCCATAAAAGAAATTGAGCGTGATTTTAGAGTTTACAATGTAAACTCTAAAATCACGCTCAATTTCTTTTATGGAAGCCTTTTTGAAATTTGAATTTTCATTTGTTTTTTTTCAATTTTCGGAGGTGTTTTGACGTTTTTGAGTATAGCTTGAAATCTAATTGATCGATTTGGTCAAACAAGCCCTTAAATTAAACAATTCGGTAATTCAACAATAGGTACATATACCTATTGTTGAATTACCGAATTGTTTCTTATTATTTATTGCAGGGTAAACTTTACATACAAGGAAAAAATATAATGGGATATGGTGGGCAGATTTTTTTTTTCGATATTGTAAACTATAGTGTTATCAGTTGTGAGAGAACTTGTTTGATCTTTTCCAGTACTGTTACAATAGAATTAGTGTTTCACAGTAAATGTACAAACATACTGCCTTTTGAACACTGCAGTGTGTAAAAAATTTATCCCAATATGGAAATAACTAAGCTATACCTATACTAACCTGTATATATCTGTAAATATTTCTCCCATAGATTTTTTCCTCAAAAAAGTTAAGCCTATATTTCCGAAGAAAAAAGTGGGCTTCGGACCTGGAACGCCTTTTCTATTCCAGTACGAGTAAACGTGTTTAAGGTAAAGGTAGCCCAAAAAGGTTACTAAAATTATCAACCAACCAATCATTTTTAAAAGCAATGACTTGTGTTCGAAACTAAATGTTATTTAAAAGTAAATTTAATTGTATAAATACATGCAATCTTATCTAAGATTACAGGGGATATTTAAGTATAAACAAGATTAAATTTTTTATTTGTCAAGGAAGAATCATATATTTCACACTTGGCTTTTATAGCCTGAAAATGTTGAAAGCACAAGGGGGTAAGTCTGAATTGTAAGGCGGCTTAGTACATAATTTGTTAAAAAAATTGGTATATTTGAAATATCCTCGTATCTCACTTAATGAAAATTGTATTGTATTTTGTAATTAGATGTAGGTAAGTCTCAGTCATGCAAGATTTTACATTTTTTATTGTTTTTAAAATAATTTAAAATAAATGCATGTGCAATAAACAAACAAACAAATATAAATGTCTTATTTGGACTTCAATTTATATCTTTAACTATTATAATTTTATTTTTATGTGGCTCTACATATAGGTAAATCTATTTTTTTATTATTGTTGCCCAAAGACACTTTTGAAAAAGATTGGGTTTGCTTTTTTTCTTGTAGTATTCTAGATGCTATAGCATCTGATATGATATATATGATATATCAGTGGTGTACGAGGTGTGTTCAGAAAATATCAGGAATTTTAGGTTTTTGAAACAAATATTTATTTATTCGTTTACATTAATGTTGTCCCCTTCAAAATAGTCCCCATTGGATATTATGCACATGTGCCGGCTCTTCTTCCAATACTCGAAACACTTCTAAAACTCGATCTTTGGGATAGCCTTTAGTTCTTTCAGCGATGCGCTTTTAATGTCATCTATGCTTGCAAAACGACGGCCCTTTAAGGTTCTCTTTATTTTTGGGAATAGGAAAAAGTCAGACAGAGGCATGTCTGGCGAATATGGAGGCTGGGGCATCATTACATTATTGTTTTTGGCCAAAAATGTTGTTCAAAATAATTTTATTATTTATTTTATTATTTAACAATAATTATTTTAGAACAAATTTTGCTGGCACGCGTTTCATACCCAAAACATTCGAAAAAATTTCATGGGATGAGCCAATCGATATACCAACATCATCAGCGGCTTCTCTGATGGTTTATAACCATTTCCTCCACTTTTTCCATGTTTTTATCGGTTGTTAATGTTCTTGTGCGTTAGGGGCGTTCGTCATCTTCAACGTCTTCACGGCCATCTTGGAAACTCTTATACCACTTGTAAACTTTTGTTTTATTTATAGCAGACTCACTATAGGCCTTTTTTAACATTTCACAGAATTTATTTTATTTTTTAAACAAAATTGGATACAAATTCTTTAATCCATTTCTTTTAACGAACGAAAAATCTTCGAGCTCATAAAACACGTCTAACCTTAGCGGCTGCCACAGACAAAGTAAACAATGAAAACAGCTAAAGTTTTTATCATACTTCGGGGGCATGCATACCAACATAATAAAGAAAATTTTATGACAACCGGACCCTCCGAACACGCGAAATTTAACAATTCACGTTATTTTCTGAACACACCTCGTATATGAGGTTAATTTTGTCTAAATACGAATAAATTTTCACCTCACCCGGGAGTTGTTATTCTGCGACGCGTTGACCTTCTTTAAAATGGCCTATAGCCCTACTAAACCATTATAAGTAGAAAAAAATAAGCTAAAAAAAATAAATTAAAGAAAATATTAAAGCAAACTTCACCTTAATTGCAAAATTATAAATTCTTTTTTTAAAATATATAAATATATAAAACAAATACCCACCCCCTGAACTCCAATTGTTTTTGACCTGGTCCATTAAAATACAATACCAACAGAATAAGCATTTTCCAGAAAGAAAAATGTTATTATTAGTGAATATATCATTGATGACTACAAATTAAAAACAGTTTTTAGGGATCTAGGTATAGAGTTTGATCCCGAGTTAAATTTTATTACACATATAGAAAAAACTATAAACTCGCCACTAAGATACTTAGGCTTTCTGATTCGAAACACAAGAACTTTTAAAAATGGGAAAACTTTTAAGACCTTTTATTTTGCTTTTGTTAGATCTAAACTGGAATATGCCTCATTAATTTGGCACAAAATGAGCTTGGAAGGAGCGCAGCTTCACTTTAAAATATACGGTAACTATCCTGTCCAAGGATTTGATCATGCACTACTTTTTTCATTATTTAATATTGTGCAAATGACAAAAGTTAAACCTATTTCCGAAGAAAAAAGTGGGATCCGTACCTTTACCTACATGCACTTTATATTATTAACAGCGTTAAAAATAAATTGATGTAAAATAAAAAAAAAACAACTTAAGAATAACTCGTGATTATTTATTTTTTGTCATTGTTGTTTATTTGATTTTATGAAAATCTAACCACAATCCTCCTTTTGGTGAAAGCATCATGTACCAGGGATCAAATTCTAAGGGTTCTTTTGTTTTTGAGTTGACACTTACGGAAAATGCTTGAATAGTATGTGCCACCGCAGCTTTAATTTGTAGCATACCGAATTTTTGACCTACAAATATAAAAATAGTATTAATACTATTATAATATATTATAATTATAAGGGCATTTTATTATTAATTTAAAAAAATGACTTTTAAAAAAAGCATTATGAAGAATTTACCTATACAAACTCTTGGTCCATCACCAAATGGTCTAAAAACACCTTGCGATCTATCATACTTTCTATTTTCCTTCAAAAAACGCGCAGGATTAAATTTATCGGGTTCATCAAAATATTTTGGGTCAAAAAATAGACCTTGAACTGGAATAACCATGACAGTACCAACATCAACAGTAACATCGATATCTTTAAACTCGGACGTAGTAGTCGGTTTGTAAGAAAATTTTTCTGTACAAAGTTTGAAGAAGGCTGGTGCAATTGGATTTTTTCTTTGAGATTCTGCAAAAAACACATATCCAGCTTATGTTGACATTTTTAAGAGAGCTAGAGTTGTTACCATTAAGACAAGCATCTAGATATTCCATTTCCATTAAAACATCATACGGCAATTTCCCGCCATTTCCATCCATGGCATCGTTGATTTCTTGTCTTAGTTTATCCTGTACTTCTGGATGTTTGGCAATTTCGTAAAGTAGAAAACTCATCACAATGGAACTGGTTTCGTAGCCATCTACGAAAAATGAAGCTGCATGGGCCACCATATCATCAGGATCGAAATCCTTGGTCGACTCTTTTAGTTGCATCATAGATTGCAAAAAATCTGGTCTCTGTACGTTATTCTTTTCCCTGTAGTCCACAGTATCAAATACAATTTTTCTCAGTCTATCAGTCACCTCTTTTGTAACGAATCTAATAAAAAAGGTATTCATCTTATAACCAATACACTTTTAAAGTTTGATGGTTTCAAGAAATATATGCATATTTAACATATTTAATATGACTTACCGTATAGATAACATGTTCATAAGAGACGGTATAACCGATGCTATAAATAATTTAAAAGTTTGCCACTTTTCGGGTGACATAAATTTGTTTGCGATATCTTGAAAGTTGCAGTTGGGATCATTAAAACAATTTGCCTCCAGGCCAAAAGCACAACTTGCCACATTTTCTAGAGTTATTTTCGTACAAAGATTTTTGGCCTCCAGGCAATTTTCTCCACAATCAATTTGTTTGTTTACATAGCTCACAGCTTTTTGACTTACATTTTCCAAAAGGGGAAATATTGTTTTCATCTAAAAATTGAAATTACCTATACCTACCTATCAATCCAATTTAAGATGACATTCTTGAGACAAATATGCCTAGCTCATCAGTGTCGGATTAATAATAACCTTTCCAGTGGTAAAGTTCGGTGTTAGTAAAGCTCTTCTTTCTTTCCAGATATTGTCCCTTGAACAGAATGGGTTTTTACCCATAACTGGGTCCACTTTTTCATCAATAAAAAAATCATTGTTCATAAAACTTTTGAAATTTTTAACGTAAATGCATTTAAGGAATTCTGGATCCCTTACAAGCAAACATGGGGTCATCATTTTGTATACTCCTATAAATGGGTAATCCTCATATTCTCTGAAAAAATTAATATTCAATAAAAAAAACAAGTTTAATTAAATTCGTGTATAAAATGGCGTTTATCAAACTTGATACATAATATACTATTATTTTGTAATCTTTTCAAATTATTATTAAGTTGTCTTAATAAACTTGTTGTTTAATAAATACTTATCAAAAAAGTTGAGTTTGGGCTGCAACCAGACGGTTGGTGAAACATTTTTGATCGAGGGTAAGAATTTTGATTGATTTTACGTTTTACACCAACAAAAAATGTCAAATCTTTGACACTTTTCAATTTTTAATGCAAAGCAATATTGTGTTAAAGAATAAAAGGCTATTTAATTTGTAGTTTATTGTTTTTTAATGCAAAGCAATATTGTGTTAAAGAATAAAAGGCTATTTAATTTGTGGTTTATTGTTTTTTGTTTAAATAAAATTAATATTTCCAACTAGCTCTAATTTTCAATGCAAAATATTTTATCCAAATACAATCACTTTTAGACAGTAATTTGGTGAAATTTCATATTAGGTCAAGCAGGACAAGACTGTAGAAAATGTAATAACCAATTTAGACACCTAAAAATATTTTTGCCTATACACTGTTCAAAATTTCATGACCATTTTAACACCAAATTAACACCATACATGGTCTATATCGTTACAAACCAAAATGATGTTAAATATGGTTCGTTGATCCAGTGTAAATTTAAATACTGAAATGGTGTAAATTTAACTTTCACATAGTATTAAAATAAATTTTACCTGGTGTAAATTGAACTCCTTTTCAGTGTTAAATATTATGTGTTTTTGGTCAAATTAAATCATACTACACAGAAAAAAAGGAAACAGGAAGTTCCTTGACGCATTACAAGTATATTACCAGTGGTATTATTCCAGAAAATTGAACCTTCAACTCGCTAGAGATAATGTTTTTAGTGCGTTCCACCAACTTAAAATACTTCAAGTATTGACAGTTGTTTCCACCTATTTAAGGTCTCTTTAGTATCGAACAACTTGTAGTGTCACACCAAAGCAAAGGACTACCTGAGCTTATATACTCTTCATGTAAGTCAACAGAGGCGAGATTTAAGAACATCACGTGATCCACACCGCCTTTGCCGCGATCGGTACACACTATGCAACCAAAAATGCACGGCAAATTGTTTTAATCGTTTTAACAGAGTGCTTTAGGTTGAAGTAACTCTTATTTTACATACAACATATTTAGTAAACTGAACCATACAGCGGGTTGGTTTCACTAAAGTTTTCTGGGTTAATTTAACCAATTTAAAAAAAAATAACTATCTGGTTTAGTACCGTCAAACTAATCAGTGTTTATATTAACCTTCCCACAGTTGATTTAAATAAATACTTATGGGTCAACTAAATTAATATAGTTAAATGAACTATTCCTTTTTTTCTGTGTAGGTGCACTTCTCAAATATTTTTAAATAAACACCGTTTTGGTGTTTGCTGCATATAATATTTTCAACCATAATTCATGGTGTTTATATTAACACCACTTGGTGTTGGATTTTGACACCATTTTAAGATTACTATTTACACTACAGATATTTTAAACAGTGTAGTTGTCAAGGACCATATCTTACTTGTATATATCACAAAAGCAATCTCCTAGGGATTTTTTTCCCAAAAAGCTTTCTCCTATATGCCCCACCAAGAATGTGGGCTTTGGTCCAGGTACATTCTTTTTCTTCCAATACTCGAAAGTACGTTTATGCAGAAAGTACAGCAGAGTTAAAACAAATATAAGTAACACGACAAACATGATGCACTGAGCACAAATGAATGACCCCTCAATAAATAGGACCACTTATAAATTATTGTTTAGACTCTGTGAAGGTTAAAATTACCTATCTAGATTATTACAAGCACTTTAAAATTTCGTTTTTATTACTGGTTTTATTGGGTTTGAAATAAAATTGTTTTATTCAAGACAATAAAATGTTTTTGTTGTTGACCGAAAAATATATTTTTGGAGAAGGTAATAGAATTTTATCGTTGTGTGTAAAATAATATTTTTTCTTTAGCCCAATTATGGAGAAAAAATTAGTAATTATTTGAAGCCATTTTATATAAGGAAAGCTTCCCAAGTAGCAAAGGGTTTCCACCGATAATGCTTTACTATTTTATGCAAGCAAACATGCTTTTTGTTTGCTCTACTTTGTGCTAATTGGTCTTGAGATAATGAAGCTTTATGATTAGTCTTTATGAGCGACTTTAAAGTAAAGTATTAAAGCCTTTTTGAAATTATAACCGTTTGATCTTAACATTGACGTATTACTGTTAACCAATAATGCTTTTTTAGGGCAACTTGCTCCTAAGAAACGCCTACAGTCCAATAGGCTTTATGAAGGTTTATCAGATGCCTATTGGTTTTAATGGTGCTCGGAAAGTTGGCTTTAATGCATCTGTTAAAGCCGACTCATATGAGCATTTGGTCTTAGGTCTACTTTTCCTCTATGTAAGAATGTTACAGAACCAAAGAGTAAAAAGGTTTTATGTTTGTTCCTAGTAGAGCAGCAATACGTCTTTAATATAACAAATTTGCTTTCCAATTTGCAAATTTGCATGAGTTTAAACCATTTTGTTGGTATTATTTCTTTATTAAAACGTTTTTGTCCTGATAATCGCCAAGAAAATAACATGTCGCCGCCATGCATGAGGAGTTTTTTAGAGCAGTGGTTAAAAGTTAAAAAAAACTTTTTTCAAATAACGAAGAAAAATTATTCTTAGTTCTTTACGTTCCCTGGGCCCATAACCTGTTAGGAATGTAGAGTGCAGAGGAGAACCAATACTTCACAGACATTCTGTAATTCTCCTCGTAACTTAAATTGCTTGAGAGGTAAACTCGAAGTCTCCACTCTTTGATGACTGGAAGACCTTTTCATTGGTAAATACTACATTTTTACAAAAATCTTCACCGTGATTTATTAGCAAACTAAACTCGCCTGCGCTTATTTACGTCTGTTAAAAAAAACCTTGCAGGCAACAGAGCAGTTTTTTAACCCAGCTTGTTTTAATAGTATATTATGTATCAAGTTTGATAAACGCCATTTTACACGAATTTAATTTAGGCAGCGAGCGAGTGCTTAAGTTAATGAGTGTATAGAAAAGTTTATAAACGAGGTGCATACTATACTTTTTCTACGACAAATACTTATTATTATCTTAAAATGATTTAAATTAAAAATTTGTATAGAGCGCCATCTATGAAACAACAGAGGAAACTGTCAAATGTCACATTTTTACATTTTATAAACGCAATTATAAAGGTTTATCGAAATGTATATTGAAAATTGACAGTTTTTCACAGTGAAAGTAAAGGAAATGTTTTATGAGGACTTTACAGTAGAGTCCGTGCCCAAATTTAAGTTATAGTTTACTGCCGGCGAAATTAAAAGGTCAGTACAATGTTCATATAAACATTTCAAATATTGGCGTTGAGAAACTATTTAATATTTTTGTATTTTTGTATTGAGATAATAAAATAATTTTCACATTTAGTATTATTTTACAAGAAAGGCACTTTATTTTAATGATTGTATGACATTTGACAACTGTCAACTAACTTAAAGCTAACTTCAGCCCGTGACTAAAAACCTGTTGCTAACTTCAGCCCGTGACTAAAGCGCCATAAAGCCACAACTTGTCAATGTGTATTTAAAAAGGTCACTTTAAGTGACTCACTTAGTGTCATGGAAACATGTACACTCTTAGAAAAGACCTGGTATTTGTAACTAACTTATTATCGTTGGGGTAAAACTGTTGCAGAAAATAACATTTTTTGTTTTTTGTAATCAGTACCTTTATATGTGTAACTGCTTGCATCATTACCTGAAAAGATTTAGTTTTGTTGTTGAGTATTATTTACTGCAAAAAGGCGATTAAGTTATTTTAACTGAAACTTTGTGTTGGCTAGAATTATTGACAACATTATCTCAAAAAAATCATTTCGGCGGTAAAATGTTTTTGTTGGACCAAATATTTAAGTAACATTCTCAACTGACTGAAATTAGTCCGTGGAACTAACGGTTCAGTTGTATAAACTATGCGTCACTTTTCACACAGCTAAGACACCAGCGGTGTGAAACAAAGTATCAGTTGGGGATGTTGTCTCTGTAGGTTAATGCAACTGCAAACTTTGTGCATTTCGCGCGCGATTTGTCCAGCCCGGCGCATGCTTTATACCTGTAAACAAACGGTGTTGCACGGCGTCCAGACTTCGGTGGTGTTTGTTCTTTTGTATTTGTGTATCAGCTCGTGTGTAG